AAAGTAATTTGTAAATAATATATAATAAATTGTAATATATAAAATCAAAAGTATAAATAATAAAGTAACATAAAAATAATAAAATAATATATATTTTTTTAATATAAATATATAAAATTAAATTAAATTAATAAAATATAAATATAGAACTAATTGACTTGATGTTTATGACAAAAAATCATTGCACAAGTTTCAAAACAATCAACACCCCTATTAAGGGGGTGCGGTTAGCACTGCCCTTTTTTTAACTCAAATCATCATGTAGAGTTGTACAATTTTTTTTATATGTTAGAATCATGTGATATCAGTATGTTTTTTAAGACACGTAAGATCATTATTTTATATTTGAAATTTTATAGTAAAATATTGTAAAAATAACCTTTATGGATTTTCTACTGTGAAGGTTCAGTTTTTTTACCTTCTCAAGTGTAAAAAAATAGTTTCACGAAAACATGCTGGTCTTACGTGAATCCAACCCATTATGTAACAATTAGTTATACTATGTTTAGAATTTTATATCATGTATCAATCAACTATATTTGATAGCAGGGGCGGATCCATAAATTTTTTCAGACGGTGACACCATTTAACTATAAGAAAAAAATATAGAGAAATTTTTTCACGGTTTGACTATAAGAAACAAATATACGGAATTTTTTTTCAAATGTTGGCACTATTTGACCAAGAAAATGACACTAACATGATTCGTACTTAGGTTTGGATTGAAATAAAAGCCTTGCAAACCAACTATATTAAAGAAAACTTATTCTCATTGTAGTTACAAATTACATACGATAGCACACAACAAATTAATACAGTTGCACCTTTCGCGAACCTAACTTTTTTTACCCTTTAACGGAAGAATAATACGGTGGCACATGCCACCTATACGACCAAAGTAGGTCCGTCCCTGTTTGATAGAAATATTTTTTCAGTTTGTACGGTTATGTACCAAGACTTGGGATCAATTGAGACCAAAGGTTTTTCGTGAGACCCATAAGACCAATTCTCAACCCTTTTGATTAAATCTACAATATGAACATTCATAATCACAAAATTGCCACGAGACTTCTCAATAATCACAAAATTGCCACCGTGCAACTTTAAACTATTAGATCATTAGCTTATAAAGTTGATCAATGAACATAAATTGGTTTTATGGGTCTCACGAAAAAACTCTTAGTTTCACGTGAACCCAACCCTATGTACTAATATCGTAAAAGTTAAAAGTTAAAAATTTATTTATATTAGTATCTTTATGAACTAGACATAGATACACTAAAAGCATCGAGCATTGAAATAACACATGGATATGTGTTATGCCACTTATTCCTAGTAGTCTAATGCAAGCATCCATTGAGGATCGACGATGAACCGCGGGAATACCATGATACACGACTTCTATGGCCACGTACCAACCAAGTTTAGATGGTGGTTCGTACGGTACTACCCACCAATTAGATTGGTACCAATTAAACTGGTGTGAATGGTGCGGAATAAGTTGGTTTGTTTTGTTACAAAATCGACACATGTAAGTGTCAATTAGAAGTCTGTAAGTGTGTGTTTGATCATGTGGAAGGTCGATGTGGTTTGTCAGAGAAATAAAAGTCAACTGTGTCGATTTAAGAAATATAACAAAATATTTCAAATTAAATCAACCTTTCGAACAAGATGTAAGCCTAATGTGCTTTTAGCAAAAAATTTCCGTTTCAAAGGGTTTTTTTTATAGTTTTTATTGATATCGAGGGATATTTATAATTTTCAATTGATTTCAACGTATCATATATTTTCTAATATCCTTGAGCACCTCTCGAAATTTAATGTGAATGTGAAGTGATTTTTTTTAAAACTTATTTCAGAAAAAATAGTCAAACCACTATAAATGGTTGATTATGGGGCTTTATGGCCCTTACAATAAATAGGCAAATAAAGGGGGGCAAAAATACAAGTACTTCATTTTTAGTCATCCCTTTTATAATTTCATCATTAGTTTATAGTTTTGTAGTTTTAAATAACAAATACTACAAAATCGAGTAATTAAACTTTTCCTTTTAACTGTGGATTTTTGGATCAGCTTAAGAAACGTCAATTATGTCATGTTCATTGGTCAAATTACAATCAAACAAGAGATTATACTGGTTTGATGTCATGTGAGAGAGCACTTGTATCTATGTTCGAATTATTGTTCGTCCTAAATCCGCTTTGTTGCAACTCGTGCTACAGGTTTGGGAAGAGGATCTAAATTGGTTGTCGATAAGTTGAGATGCATCTTTGTCCAACTTGGTTGGACGGGATCTTGCAATTAGTGTTGAACTTGGATTCCTAGTAGCACGTTTGTCCAAGCTTGTTTCTTCTAAAGTGAGCATCAGAAATATTCATGGTCGAAGTCCAATAAATTTAGGTGGATCGAATCATATACAATCATCCATTGGATGTTGGATTTTGTTATACGATCCAATCAAACTAACGTTGGAATCCAATCCAATGGATAATTATATTGGATCAGTTCCATCCATTGAATATTACTATTAGTTATCTATTTAGTAGGATTGGATTCATCCAATATTTTCAACTAACTAATCCACCATTTCAACCAATTCTTCATATACTTTCTTAAGTTATTAAAAAACAAGGCACATAAATATCAACTGAAAAACAATATCAAAAAACGTTAATAAATATATACATTATATATATATATATATATATATATAAACGATGGTAGTTATATGATAATTGGATCATTTTGGTTTTATTGAATGTTGGATTGCCATCCAAAAACCGACTAATCAAATTCAGATGATGAAATTTTATTAATAATAAAAAATGGTATAAGAATAGTTAAAATAAAAGGTGGAAACTACATAAATCTTTTATTTTGATGTCATTTTAATCATCTTGACGAAATTTTCTAATGATATATTTTGTTATAAAAATATTTACTTTATTATAATTTAAGAAATTACATAAATTAATCAAAATATATAAACTAATCTAGGGTAAATTGATGATTTTATCTATTAAGTCATGCCAAGTTATGTCTTACCAAATGTTGAACAATTGTTCTATGCTGTCTAAATGCCAGAACGCAACCTAAAACATGTAAAGATGGTAGGGATTTGAAATGCAAAATCAAACAACAAAAAAAGGGATGGCATTTCAGTATGTCATTGTCATACATGAATCATAACGCGTCTTAAAAGTTAAGATGAGAAAACTGATTGTTACCAACGATACTAACAAGATATCGGGATCATCTTTTCATTGACGATGGCCCACTTCAACTGCTCCCCTCGTTGGTGCAGATCAACGATACTGTAAAGCAGATATTACAGAAGATTGCTATCAAACATACGCAAATTGGCGGATAAAAAAGAAGAAAACAAGAACAAGATAGAAAAACATCAACGGAACCATCACAACTGCAGGGCCATATCTCTGATAAGTGGCTTGATAAATGTACTTGGCTTGTAGTTTATTAAGCAAGTGATCTTTGATAGTTTACATACTTTGTTTGACAGATTAAGCTATTCAACGAAACATAAAACCATGGTTGCTATTTACAATACAAACCGAACACATGGACAAAAACTTGAGAAATAAAATAAGTGATGCTTTATTGAGTTGTTCTATGCAACTTGCCAACTAACCCACAACGTGTTCTAAAGCAATTTGAAAAAATGCAAAAGAAGTACAAGCAAGAGAAGCATACAGCAAGGGACCAGAAGTATACGTTCTAATGATTGTGGTAAATTAACATTGATGATTGTGAGTGGATGTTCGATTTAAGTTAATGCATAAACGAATGTATAACCTAGTTTAAATGGACCAAGCTTGTAGACCCGACAATTAAAATTGATTGTTTCTCTAATTATTATCACAGTTTTTGCAGACTAAAATTTAATAGAGCAGGTTTGAAGTTGTTGCTAATGATAAAATAATCAAAGAGCTTGTTTAAACCATCCATAATTAAGAAGAAATACTTCATTAAAGCTTGTTAACAATCATAATCAATTTGAGAGAAGTCGATAGGGAAGTGGATGTTCATCATGATCGAATCAAATCAGATATGGTATCATCGTTGCTTGGATTTTCTTGTATTGGTGGTTTAACAACACCCCCTCCTCAAGTAAACCATCAAACTCAATGAATTCGACCCTTACCAACACAATTTATTTTGTGTTAACATGAACAAGATTACTATTTGCTGGCCTTGACAACCACCAAGCACCAACCAAATCAAAGAAACCAACAGTGGCCAAAAATGGTTAACATAAGATAAAAAAAACTAACCTTAATGAAACCAATCTCCTTTGCATTGCTGTGGAAGCACTGCCTACAGCACATAAGACCGTACTTTCTGATCAACCCATGTGAGTTACCACATACACGGCTGGTAAAACAAAATCAGATATCAAAAACAAATCATCCACATTATTGCAGCGAACAGCTGAACACATAACAAAAGACAAAGCAACATATTGGCCTTTTCCAGATGACACAAGCCATTAAAACTTATTAACACAAATTAAACAGCATTGATATAGACTTGCACTTTATCAGCCTGCCACAAAATATTAAGAAATCTTAATTTTACGGGATGTTTACCTGATCATTTACCTTATTGGATTAAGGGGGCAAACGCCAAAAATCTTACCAGTAAGAGGCAAGGCAAGGAACAAGAGCCTTACCTAGTTGGTGAGGGTGACTACTCTTAAGAGTAAGCGCTTAAAGGGTAAGATTGTTGCACAGAATGCCACTTTGATGGCCAAAAATATTACCCGTTGAAGCTAGTGAGAGTAGAGAACCTTACCCAATAAATTTTGGTAAACGGCCCCTTAGTCATCAATTTTTTTAGTAAAAGATTATGATGAGCTGCGGGTTTTTCCATCAAGGATCATGGCATGTACAAAGCCCCCTTTGGTTAAAATAATTTAATTTACATAGTCCGTTATAATCTATATCAAATAAAAACGTAGCTATTATAATCACCAAAGCTGAAGCCTCTCTGTTCTTGTTCATCGTTTTTCTTTTGTCAAAGAGTGCTTATTATTATGAGATCTTACAAACGTATAATTTCAACACCAGTTACAAAAAATTTGACTTAAATCTAACCGAATTACCCGTAACCTTTTTCATTTGTGATTCGTGTCATAATGTTCAATTATGATTAAAGAAATTCAAAAACTAGAGAATCCACAACATCAAACAATTGCGAAAGGCACATTTAAAGGAGGAAATCTCGAACGTTTGCAGTCATCAAAGCTATGAGGGATTGAAATACCACCAGTCACCAGAGCACATACACCACCAGTTTTTGTTGTAAATCAATGGTAAATTCAAACAATCCACGAAAACATAAACATAGAACAACAGTATTACACCACAATATAGGGCATTATACATTAATATGTGCAATACGATGAGAATATACAGAGTACAATAGCAGATAAACTTGACATGAATGAAAATTGAAGAACAATGATATAGGAACTAACCATGTACGAGATCCAGGGCCGTAAGTTTTAGGATGGGAGTTCCAGACGTTCGAGTGACCCATTCTTCGTGTACGGAGGCGACGAGCTCGGAAAATCGATAATTTCAAAACCCTAGATTTTGCACTTTCGGACCGCGGGACGATCTTGTGGGATGGTCTTTATACTCTTGCTGAGGCCCAATAAATTTGAAAATAGCCCAATAAGTTTGAAGATAGCCCATTTATCTACAAAAGGTGATCAATGGGCCATTGTTCTAGAAGAAAAAAATCAAATCAAATCAAATTAAGTTGACGGAGAATCATGTGAGAAACATAGTTAAAATAAGATGCGTAAGAAGGGATTTGGATCCTTAATAATCTTTAATTTCAAACTCATCCATAAATCACGTTTGATACGATTTAAGTCCGACCATACCGGTATTTGGGTACCACTTGTAGGGATGGAATAGAGGCGGGTAATGCATCCCCTGTCCTCGACCCCCGTTTAGCCCCCGTCCCCGACCCTGCACTAATTAATCCCCGACGGATTCGAGGGAAGGAATCCTCGATGGGTTCGGAAAACTAGTTGGGTACCCGTTGAGTAAAAGACGACGTATTTTAAATCTAAAATTATGATGAAGCATTGCTACATTAATTAACAATATCGAAAAACAAATATATTTGTCATTTAATAATGAATATGTACATATATATTTATTTATACACATACTATATACATATATCAAATAAAATAAAAAAAATGAGTAAGATTATGGGCGGTTGATGTCATCCCGACCCTACCCCGACCCTGCTTCGGATATAAAAAAAGATCCCCGTTTCCTCTTCGTTACCCATCAAACATGGAAATTCCCGCCCCGTAAAGATCAAATATCTACATATACCCACCTTAATGGGAAGAATTTCCATCTCTAACCACTCGTCAACTACTCTGGTGAACCAAAGGGCCTTTGGCCTAGCGGTATGTGAGTCCTTGGCCTTCTAGGAGGTCAAGGGTTCAAGCATCACCAAAGGTGAGGAGGGTGTATGAGTTTATTTGTTCTATTTACCGTATATAAATATTTTATACTAAAAAAAAATTATTCAGGTGAAAAAAATTTGGACCCGTCCTTCTTGTTTTGGGCTTATTTCGGCCCAGCCCAATATCCAGAAGCCCTTTTGCAGTACATACACAGTTTCTGGTTCGGACTTCGGACTCCTCACACTGGACCGCTTGGATATGTTGTCTTGGGAACAAAGAAAAGTTTCGTCTTCTTGATTCGAGATATATATATATATTTCAGACGGAGAACGAAGAGAACACTCGCCGGAGAAACCCTAACAGCAGAAGAACCAACGACAACCAGATCATATAATGAGTCGTGGAAGTGGAGGCGGATACGATCGTCACATTACGATATTTTCTCCTGAAGGGCGTCTCTTTCAAGTTGGTAAGAATCCTAAACTCGTCACACTACAATTATAACCTGTTCTCATCGATTAGAAACTTTGGGGGTGTTCGGATGCTTTCAAAATGATTGTATGATTACTATGATTGAAGTTGCAATAATTAGTTTATAGTGTTAGGTTAACCTGTTTAGCTAAAGTACTTAGGGAGAGCAAAGAAGTGATCATCTAACATCGGTTATGGTTCATATAAATTCAATAGATTAGTTTAATAATTGGTTATTGAAGTTTCTAATGTTCAACCGAGTATGGGGTCTTTTGGTCCGAATAAGTTAATCAGCTTGAAGTTAAGGATATGTGTTGGTGACTTTAGTGAAATCATCTGTTCATTTTATGTAATTGGATTCAAAAGAGGATATGGGGTTGTTAGTTAAACTATAGTACAGGTTAAGTGTAAGCTAACTAGAACCTGGGGATTATGGTGCGACATGCCATTTGGTGGGGGTCAGGGGCCATGCCCCATTGGGGGGTCCTGGGTCAACGTCTCTGTGAAGTTCGGAAGCTTATGAGCACCCTTTTGGAGCTTCCGAGCATTGTTCTGAAGCTTATGATTCTGAAGTAGTTTTGACTTGGAGCTTCTGACTCTGAAGAGTCAAGGGCTCTGAAGCCTTTTGATCTGTGTAAACAGTTTGTAACTGGTGTGTCTGATCCAACAATCATTTCCATTTATGGGGAGATATTCTTGGCACTAATTTAGGAATACTTAAGATTCTCTAAGTTTAAAAGATAAAGATATCTGCCAAAATCGGGACGGATTTTTGAGATTATCCTCAAGTTGATTTCGTGAGACCAGACAAATTAGGGTCGGAATACAACTTAAGGAAAATGAGCTCTCATGTGATGTAAAGTTTTATCCAGACTTTTTACTCTCTGTTTCTTTATAGTTTTCGGGATTCCTCCGACAATAGGTAGTTTTACCCTTACCTAATAATCAGTTTTGGCAACTAATCAGAAAATCAAAACCATAATCAGTTTAAACACACATATGAACACCCCCTTTTCGTATTCTAAGGAGTTCATTGTAATTGATATTACTGGTGAATTCACGCTCGGTATTGTTTCTGTTTTATCTGATTTCTGTTAGATGTTGTAAAATGGAAACAGAGTATGCTTTTAAAGCAGTCAAAGCAGCTGGGGTCACTTCAATTGGTGTCCGAGGGAAAGACTCTGTTTGTGTTGTGACCCAGAAAAAGGTCCCGGTAAGTTTTTCCGACCAAGCACAGATCATTTTGTGTCTATATGTTTTTCATGCGGTTGTTTAAAGTTTAGTTTTGATGTAGGACAAGCTCTTGGATCCAACCAGCATTACACATCTTTTCTCGGTCACCAAGTTCCTTGGGTTGTTAGCTACTGGCACTACAGGTTTTTGTTTACACATTTTGAACAATCATAGATTTTATTAATAACAGTTTATGCTAAGAGAAGGATCGTGGGAGAATAGGAGTTAAGGGGATAAGCATAAGAAGGGATATGAAACCTTGATCACTTGTTAATCACACCCCCATCCCATGAATTGCACTTATCATGGGAGTTGATCCGAGGTGCACCGCATTAGTGTTGATCTTCAATTAGAATTGATCCAAGGGTGAAGATCCCTTCTTATCATAACTTCCATTCTCACCGGAACCCAACCGTTTATCCTAATGCATAGAACTTTTTGCATACTTTATTGGCAATAGTATTTATCCTGTATTTGATTATGCATATCAATTAGTTATATGCATTCAAATACGAAGCGTTTACCCATTAATTATATGAATTTAAGTATGAAGCTTCAAGAAGCTGTACCAGTGCATCATTAACATGTAATCTTGAATTTTAAGTAATGTGCTATAATTGACGATACTTAATGCACATAATATTTTTGTTAAGATTTTACCCTGAATGCTTTATATTATAATACAATATTCTACTGTTTTATGTGCATTTAATGTAGTTATATTTATGTGTCAAGATTGAATACTTTTCTTTACAATTTTCAGCCGATGCAAGGACCTTGGTTCAGCAAGCGAGGAATGAAGCAGCTGAGTTTCGTTTTAAATATGGATATGAGATGCCTGTTGACGTATTGGCTAGATGGTATTCTTATTACTCTTAATACTTCTTAATGAATTAGGTTTATTAGGCATGCTCTCTTAGTCCACCTACATATTTTTTGGATGTATACATACATGATACACCACAATGCATTTGTCAACGAACAATGGGTTCGTTTGTTTCTCGAGGATGATATACAAGAAATCATGCAAAATAGGAACTGATGTTGTTGCTCTTTCTGATTTTTATTAATTTGTTTGTTTACATGGCGCTCCTTTCATGCTACTTTCTGTACAATACTTCGATTTTGGATGCTCTTTTTTATGCCATTGTTGAGCTTAGGGGTGTAAACGAGCCGAGCCGAGCCGAGTAGTAGGTTATTTGAGCTCGACTCGAAGCAATTATACCAGGCTCGAGCTTGAATACCTTTTTCAATGTAGGCTCGAGCTCGATGCTCATTTATGGGATCGTACTCGCAAGTGATGCACTCTTTTATTGGCTCGAGGTTGATAATTTTTATTAGTTATGAACATATGATCATGTTTGGCTCAAAACATTATATGCTCGAATGGCTCAACTCGGCTCGACTCGAAAAATTTAATCGAGCTTTTGAATAAGTCGCGTAGATCATGGTTTTATGAAGCTCAGCTCGTTAAGTTAAACGAGTTTTATTTTATGTTCGAGATCAACTCGAGCTCGAGTAGCTTGTTAAAAGCTTGACTCTTTTACACCTCTAGTTGAGTTTTATGATGTTATCTTCCTTGGGAAATATCTCCTGTTTATTCTTCTTTGTGTATTGTATGTGCAGGATTGCAGACAAGTCTCAAATATATACTCAACATGCTTACATGAGACCACTTGGAGTAGGTCTGTTTTTTGTTTTCCTCGAGTAACAAAAACTTCATCTCATGTTTTTTCTTTTCTAATTCGGGCAAAGTTGATTACCGGCCCCACACGGAACCCCGTCTCCATGGACACCGTTGTTGGGGGAGGGGTATTATTTTGGCAAACTCAGGGGCTCAGACTAGCGGCTGGGGGGGGTGGAAGTCGCCCACCCGTTTGCCAACTAAGCTACATGCCGAAGGCGTTTTTTCTTTCTAATTACCTTTTACTACAAACTTCATGATGTACTTAGACTAGGATGGTTTAGGACCTGTTTGTTGGTAGCTTAATGAGCTTAATGTAACTCGGAGCTTATTCGACCAGCTATATGTGACTTTGGTAGTGGCTTAATGATATAAAAAGTGGCTTATTTAGTAAGCTTCTAAAGGGGAGCTTTATGGAGAGAACCAAGTTTTTCCCAAACTTGCTCCTTCAAATTAAAAAACACACTCCTTCCATCTATGAAAAACCCTCCCAAGCAAACACCTTCCCAATTTATTCATACAGGACTTGGGAAAACCAACCAAACAGCCCCTTAGTTATATGCTTAACTCAGGCAGATTTATTTGAATATGTGAACTTTTGATTTGTATTGTTTCTTTTTACATCTCTTTTTTGTCTTTTTCTTTGCAGTGGCTATGGTTTTGGGTATTGATGACGAGAACGGACCCCGACTCTTTAAATGTGATCCAGCCGGCCATTTTTTTGGTCATAAGGTATCTGAACTTAGATTTCAAATTTTGGTATTTGGGATTCTAATTTATATATACTAGCAATGAAGGTTTTCTGCTCAGTCACTTGCGAACTGTATTTCAATCTTATTATAACTCATTCGAAGTTAGGGGCTGTTTACCAAACGCTTACCCGGGTAAGTGCTTACCAAGTCACATTACCTACCGGAAGAATATGGCAAGGACCAAGAATTTTACCCGGTAAGAGCGAGCCAAGGACTGAGAGTCTTATCCGGTAAGTGAGGACAATGACTCTTACCACTCTTACCACTTACCAGGTAAATTGTTGTATCCAATGCCGTTTTGGTGGACTAAAATCTTACCGGGTAAGAAAGTAATAGTGTTGAATTTTACCGGTAAGCGCTTATCGGGCAAGTGTTTTGTAAACGGCCCCTTAGTTTGTTCTTTCATGACATAAATTAATTGGTTGTATGACTGCTAATCTGCTATGTTACTTGCATACTGCCTACTACAAACTGAGAAATCTACAAGTGTATAGAACAAGGTGTGCCTTGTATTGTACTTCCAACTTTTAGGGGTGCATGGTTCAAATTATGGAGTGGGAATGGTTATTGCATTGATACTGTTTGTTAATACTAGGGGTGTAATTGATGCCTGTCGAGCTCGAGTATCGCTATATTTGACTTGAAGGCTCGAATCGACTCGAACTCAATAGCCAGGGCGATGTGGGACCAGGACAATATACCCCAATTATATAAAGTTGGAAGCTGCTATATATAATATTTTACAAATTATATTATAAAACTTAATAACTTTATAAATGACATAAATGTTGGTCTTTTTATCTGTTAGGTTCTGTGTAGTTTTGCCTTGCCAAATGTTGAATAGTTGTTCAATCATGTTCTGTCCTGTCCTATCCTGACTGGATACCGTACGCACCCTTAACGAACAAGGTGTAGCATTTGGGATGTGAAAGGGTACAGAATCTTGAGAAACGACCAGCATTCTTTTCCGGGTTATTAGATGATATAGAAAGAGGGATAATCTATTCACAGTTTCTGTCTATATACTGTCGATACTTCCCGAATCTCAAGTCTTATTTTGGACGGATTTTGCAGGCAACAAGTGCGGGATTGAAAGAACAAGAAGCAATTAATTTTTTGGAGAAGAAAATGAAAAATGATCCCGAATTTTCTTACGATGAGACTGTACAGGTGCATTTTTCTGTTGCAAATTAAATGGCAGCATGTTTTTTTTAAGTATATAATATTTATATACGGCAAATGCAATAAATAAACTCACACGCCCTCCTCATCTTTGGTGAGGTTTGAACCCCTGACCTCCAAGGAGGCCAAAGGCTACGATACCGCTAGGCCAAAGGCCCTTTGGTGGCAGCGTGTTTTTTTGTTGGGCAAATATTCACCAAATTTGTTGCAAATATTTGATGATTTTGCAGACTGCAATTTCTGCTTTGCAATCTGTTCTACAAGAAGACTTCAAGGCTAATGAGATCGAGGTATAAAGAACCCTGTTTTTGGATTTCGATTTCAGTGGGTTGTAGAACAGTCGAAGCATGTCGATGATTGTTAATTCACTTGGAAATGCTGCAAAATTATCGATTCTTGAATGGTATTTAGTTATCGGCTTTGTGTTTGTGGACAGGTTGGAGTCGTGAGACGGGATAATCCGGCCTTTCGAGTTCTTACTATGGAGGAAATTGACGAGCACTTGACTGCCATCAGCGAGCGTGATTAATTTACCATTCGATTTCGATCATAATTGTTTTGAAGTTTACTGTTTTTATTGGGGAGTGATGATGTTTATTTTGGTCGAGTTTATTATGTTCAAGATGTTGATTGATAATTACACTAGTTTCTAATTGACGTCCAAACGTATAGGATTGGTTTACCAAACGCTTCCCGGATAAACTTATTAGGGATCCGGAATCTTACCTGGTAAGAGCGGTCACAAGAACTGAGGGGTGGTTTACCCGACCCTTACCCAGGTAAGCGTTTACCGGTAAAATTCACTCTAACTTGCTTATCAGATAAGATCTTAGTCCGCCAAAATGGTATCGAATGCAACAATTTACTAGATAAGCGCTAAATGTGGTAAGAGTCGTTCTTACTTATTGTTTAAGAGACTCAGTTTTTTTGCTCTTATCGGGTAAGATTCTTTGTCTTTGCGATGTTCATCCGGTAAGGTAATGTGACATGGTAAGCGTTTATCCGAGTAAGCATTTGGCAAACCCACCTGAGAGTCTGACCCGGTAGATGATGGTGATGGTTCTTACTTTGTTAGCATTTACCGGGTAAATTGTTACATACAATGTGGGTTTGATGTATTGGAATCTTATGCGCTAAAACCGTCGAGTATAAAAAATAACTCGTTGATATATGTCGTACCACTTATCGTTATATATAAAACATTCAAATTATTTTCATATAATAAAACTATTCGTTAATAATCTAATACAAACATCCATTGAAAAGCAACGACGGACCATGGATGTGTGGTCAAGTTTGACGGACCATGGATGTGTGGTCAAGTTTACTGAGGTTATTAGGGTTGTACAGATGAATTCAACCAATTATAATTTAGCAAACTGAAAATAAGAACATTTAAAATTATAATCAAAATATGTTGTATTATACCAAAATATAATTAATAAATAATTAAAAGAATACATGACTTCGAATACCATGTAATAACCAAATTTAAAAGAATACATGACTACCAATCAATTATGTTATTACCAACTATATTGATATTCGTTGAATTGTACTACTAACTTTTAATATATGATTTTGGGTAAATTGTTTAAAAAAAAATAACGTACTTTTAACTTGATTCATATTTTGGGTAACATACTTTCAAAACTTTCATTTTGGTATTTCAAAACTTTTATTTTGGTACCTAAGATGTAAAATTTTAAACAATTAAATTACCGGATAACCGGTTAAAACATTAATTGGTTAGATTAAGATATTTATGTTAACAAATGATATTGAGTTGGATATTTACAACACTCGTCACATCAACATAGTAACTGGTTAATGCTTCATACTGTGACCTGAATACTTAAATGTTTAAAACTTTATATCTTATGTACCAAATATAAAAGTTCTAAAAGTACGTTATTTTTTCCATATAACTATGGTGTTACGTTTTTTATTATAAATATTTATTTTAGGATAAATAAAAAAAAGTTTGAATTCAGAATCCGGGTGGTAAAAGAACAAAGGTCAAGAAAGTGGGCACCTCCCGTTTTCAGACAACTTCAAAGTCCTTCGATCTGTTCATACCAAAAACGAATAGGTCGGTTATTTTCTTCTTCAATCGTTTCTCTGCAACTTCATCGAAAATACATCTTCAATCAATCCAATTCGAATCGTTCTTCCAATTTTAATCGCCAAAACCTATAGGATTTCACCTACTTTATTTGCTTCTTTCGCTTAATCGATCGAATGCCTTACAGAAATCCGGCTTTTCTTTTGCAGGTTCGTAATCAATTCTTTTTCTGATTGATTTTTACCGTTTTTGGGTTTTTAGGGTTTTGGTTTTGTAGATACTTATCATGATCACGTTCATTGTCTATTCGTTTTTCATTAATTTGATGAAAATTCGAATTTATTTGCTTTGATGATCATCGTTATTTCCACAATTCATCCGCTTCTATCGCCTAAGCCATCAAAAGGGGGAATTCCATTATTTATCGTTGTTTCGGTGATTAACTCGAAACGAACAATAGGAAAGATACCTGATTCTTACTTGTTACTGATTGCAGGAATTTGTTGCTTGTAGGGAATGTTATTTGCTTTCTTTGATTACAATCTCAGTTTAAGCAAAATTTTTAAATTTGAGATAAACCATCTACAAAGAAATTGAATAATTTTACAGAGAATTTTGTTTTCCAATGCTATTTTGTGTTTTTTCAACAGATATCAGGATCATAATCTCATGGCGACAGCAACAATGGCGACTGCAGCTGGTGCTGCTGCTCTGTTATATTATACATTAAATAAGAAACTACAATCATCATCTACGACAGCTGAAGATGATGAAGAAAGTGAAAGCCTTGTGCAAAACCATGGTCCGACAGGAGTTGGTCGAGTTTCGCATAGACTAATCCAGGCTCCAGCCACATGGTTAGAAACTATTTCAACATTATCAGAGACCCTTCGGTTTACGTATTCAGAGACTTTGGGGAAGTGGCCTATTGGAGATTTGGCTTTTGGCATCACCTATTTGTTAAAAAGACAGGTTTGTATGTGATCATTCTTTACTAGTCGTGCATAAAACCAAACCAAACAAACCCAGTGAGGGGGGGGATGTACTCCGTGACCTCTATCTTAAAGTAGTAATGGACTTGCATTGAATTGGAGGGGAGGCCCTCACTCCAAGCTCAATTTTTCAAGTTAATTTTTTTTTACTCTTATGTCCTTAGTTACCCTAGTCACTTATGATGGTTCCCCTGGTGGCCCTGTCCATTTTGATGAAACCTCCAGTCCCTCGCTTGACCGTCATTCCCCCGCACATTGATTGTTTTGTTACATTAGTTCTTACAATCATGCTACAATTATAAAGTTGGTTGATGGGTTTGTTAAATATATTTAAGTTTTACTTCTTTTAGTTTAAAGATAAATCAGTTCACCTAATGTTAATTTTATATATGTTCAAACCAATTCATCTTGAAGGAAATTATATAAAGTCAATAATAGTATAATTTACTACTCGGTTAATAGACATGGTAAAATAATAATTGAAACCGAAACTTACCTTATTTGGCTAACCGAGTCGTTTAACCCGCAAAACGAATGACCCGAAACCTTTTTGGTTGGCGTGAGTTATTCGGTTTAGATTTTCTTATACCCTTAGGTCCCCGGTCACCTAAGTTTTTGAATCCACCATTGCCTCAAAGAGCAGAGTGGCTACCTCTAGTCTGCTATCCTAATCTTGCGTCTCCAGGAACACCTATTAGAAGTCATGTCCTCGGAAATACCTAAAGCGGTCATGTCTAAACCTAACCTGCTCACTACATATTAATTAACTTAATGCCTAGGCCTTTAGATATTCATAACCGGTTGGTGCCAATTACATGTAATTTGGGGGTTAATTTAATTGGTAGAATGGGAAGGCTGAATATGATCGATGGATTGATACGTGAAACTTTAAATTTATCATCTCAATTATGCAGTTAATGGCTAGCTCGACAAGTAGTTAATGTTATTAGCTTTTACATGTAGAAATCTGCATTGTTGATGCCAGTGCCATCTTGTCCTACTTATGTCCACTCTTAATGGTATTGGGACGCATTTGCTTTGGCATATCAGATTTTTCATTTGGGGCTTAATGATGAAGCTCTCGGCTGAATCGGCGTTACGAATTCAGCCCTAACCCCCTAGCTTTATGGATTCAGCCATAGATTACTGGTTTTATAATCCTGTACAGTATTTTGTGAATCGGGTTCTATTTAAGTCTTCTGTCTAATATGGTTCTAGATTGTTGGTTTTGGAAAAGAAAAGGTCAATACTGGTTCAACTGAGACAAACATAATAAAGAATCCCTTGTAGCAGAGGCGGATCCAGGAATTTTCGAAGTGGTATCACAATATAAATACATAAGGACCTAAAGTTTTTATTTCATAATTTCATATAAACCTTTGAAGTTCTAATATTTGTGGTTTCACCCAGAAAAACTTATGGTTGCACATTTGAGGACCTAAAAGAATTTACACTTAGCCCCATCGGTTTTAGTGGTTTCACAGGCAACCGCCCTCTTAAGCATAGGTCCTCCCTAAGAAATTTCTTCTAGACAGAATGAGGCTCTCGTTGAGAGATCCAGCCCTGCCTGGTAGGTAGTTTGATTTATGTGGCGGATATGGGTCGAACTTTTATATATATTTTGGGAACCGAGGCCTTAGGTGGTCTAGATGAACAATCATTTTTTGCCATTTTTCTTGAATGGACAACAATGTTTGTTAGCAGCTTTAATGAGATTCAGTTTATTCAGACAGTTATACATGGTTTTTTGGTGGCTTAATGATATAAAAAGTGGCTTATTCAGTAAGCTTATAGGAGAGAACTTTATGTAGAAAGCCAAATTTTTCCCAAACCTGCCCCTCCCAATTAAAAACCACACCCATTTCATCTATGAAAAAACCCTCCCAAACAAAAACTTTTCCAATCTATACAGATAGATTAATCCATTAAGTCATCTTTATCCATACAAAACTTAATGGAAAACCAACCAAAACAGCCCTTACTGTGGTTGGGCTGTCCGGCTGTTGTCATCACATTACATTTAGAGATGTTTGGAATCTTGATTTCACATTGATCTTATTTTTGCGAACACTAGTAAGTAATAAGCAAACCATTCTTTTCTGGTACAACAATAGGCATATTTGTTAACGGCTTAATGAGCTTAACAGGACTCACAGCTTATTCGGTTAGCTATACATTATTGTTTGGTAGTGGCTTAATGATATAGAAAGTGGCTTATCCTGTAAGCTTCTAGAGGGGAGTTTTATGTAGAAAGCCAAGTTTTTTTCCAAACTTGTTGTCCCAGTTAAAAAACACGCTCCTTCCATTATGAAAAAGCCCTCCCAAACAAAAACCTTTACAATCTATACAGACAAATTAATCCACACAGACAACTTTATCCATAAGGACTTGATGGAATACCAACCAAACAGGGTATAATTTTTTCACCATACAATTGCTTGCCCAACTCTCAGTTGATGACTTTTCTCTGCAGGGGAATTTGCATGTTAGTAGCGTATTTGGAGGTGAAGAGAGCGTGCAGCTTACAGGACCCGAAATAGTTTCCGAGCTCAGATATCTCCTTGACTTGTTGACCCTTTGTTGGCATTTCTCAAAAAAATCATTTCCCGCATTTTTAAAGGAGACTGGCTATCCACCAGAAGACGTTCTTATTCAGGAACCTAAAGCTGGAGTAAGTAGCATCTGCCCACAAAAATGAATCTGTTCTGCGTTTCTTGATGATTCTTAGTTTGCTCTTTCTTCAATATCAAACATGTTAGAATTTATTGATTTTATGAAAATGGTTGCAGATTTTGAAGCCAGCTTTTACGATATTAGTGAACCACAAGACAAAGACGTTCCTTTTACTGATTCGTGGTACTCACAGCATCAAGGACACTCTAACGGCTGCAACCGGAGCTGTGGTACCGTTCCATCATACGGTTGTGCACGAGGGAGGAGTTAGTGATTTGGTATTAGGTTATGCTCATTGTGGGATGGTTGCAGCTGCCCGATGGATTGCAAAACTTGCAACTCCTTGTCTTCTTAAAGCGTTTCAAACTTATCCTGATTATAAGCTTCAGGTATTCGGCGTACCTAATGTGGTAATATATATATATATATATATATATATATAGGAAGAGAGGGAGAGGGAGGTTCAGGTGAAAACCCCCAGAAAAATGAAAAACTGATGAACACTCTGGTAATCGTTCATCTGGACGATATGCACATGTCCATACAAGAAATTGAAGTTGTTTCTTGGTTTCTATGTATGCCTGCATGTTATGCACATGTGCATACCATCGATATGAACAGTGACTAGAACACACCTCAGTTTTTCATTATTTTTTTGCGGTTTTCCCCTGAACATGACCTGACCCTATATATATATATATATTATAATTTCTTTATAATATTGGATATAAGATGAGTTTTTATATTGAATGCAGATTGTTGGACACTCTTTGGGTGGTGGAACGGCTGCACTTCTAACTTATGTCCTGCGGGAGCAAAAAGAACTATCTACAACTACTTGTGTTACATTTGCTCCAGGTTTATGATCGTTCTTCTATTTTGCTCTTTTTTGCCACTATAACGAAATCAGGTTTATAGGACGCCATTTTTTGTTTATGTGTCCTTAAAAGATTGCTTGCTTTATAGGACTTAAGTTTATAGGACTAACAATTGTGTGTCATATGTAAAAGTGTTACAATAAGTTGATTTTGGGGGTCTTAACAAGTTTATAAGAATACTTTTGAAACAAAGCGTCCTATTAATTTTTTATGGTATCGTTTGAAAAGGTCTTATAAAAACAAATGTCCAATAGAAAAGATGTGTTGTTTGAAAAACACTTCTCAGTAGTGTTCTATAGAAAAGCTTACATGACATTTTATTTTAAATATGTCCGAAAAAACTTGTTAAGACGGCAGAAACGTCTTGCAAACGTATTGTTTGGTACTATAAATTTAAGTCCTATAAAGCAGTATATCAGGACATTTAGACATTTGCGTCCTATAAACTTGATTTTGTTGTAGTTCGCTATTATCTCTTATATTTGCCATGAACTGTATAGCCCAATCTTGGTATAAATATTATCATCAACCTTTGATAGAATACGGCTACTCATATGATTAGGTGCTTGTATGACATGGGAGTTGGCTGATTCGGGAAATGAATTCATTACGTCTGTTATAAACGGAGCTGATCTGGTCCCTACATTCTCGGCTGCTTCAGTGGATGATTTACGTGCGGAGGTGAAGTTCAAACCATTCGTCTAATTTGTTAAGATTTGTGTATTTAGAAGTGGTAGATCAATCATCTATTAGCCTGTGCCAACCGGTTGCTGATGCGACTTAAGGCCCGTTTGGTTTTGCGGTACTTGGAATTGGATTCCATTCTTCTCGCATTTGTTTTGCGGGATTTGGTGGCATTCGGAATTGGATTCCATTTCCAATCGCGCTTTTGGTTTAAAGGGAAGTTTGGAATTAAAATCATTGAAATCCCACAAACATTGGATTTACAAATCCCACAAACATTGAATTTAGAAATCCCATGGGGTAAGTTGGTATTTCATGGGAGTTGTTTGTAATAATGTCTTAAAATATGTTAAAACATTTGTTTTGTAATAATGAATCAGTAAGAGGTAATTTAATTATTTATAATTTGTTTATATAAATTATATATAAATGAATTGAATCCAATTCCATTCAGAATCCTACAAACCAAAAACACCAAAGATTCCAAATCCTTCCACGAAATCCCAATCCTTCAAAAACATTCCATTAAAACAGACGGGCCCTTATGGGAATTCATGCTGTTTCTTCAGAGTTTACTTGTTTACACAGGTAACGGCATCAGCTTGGCTGAACGATCTCCGGACTCAGATTGAGCACACGAGGATTCTTAGAACCTTCTATCGTTCTGCAACAGCCTTGGGTTCTCGACTTCCATCAATTGCAAGTGCCAGAGCAACAGTTGCCGGAGCCGGTGAAATTCTCCGGCCTGTTTCTAGCGGTACACAGGTAAATTCTCTGTCCTGTTTCTTGTTGTAGGGTGCACTACAACAAAATCATGTTTATAGGACGCCAAAGCGGGGCCTTCTTTTGAGAACTCTCTAAATCGTGAGATCACTGAGAACTAGTGCATCATGTGCTATTTCATATGATTGCTTTTCATCAATGGCTAGAATTTAATATAGTGATTAACATATATTTGTTTCACATTACTCGGTTAAAAATACACGTAAAAAAGTTTCACGTTGTGAACCGAATACATATGGAACAAACACTGTGAAACAAATATATGTTAATCAATACATTAAATGCTATACTTAGATGAGTTAGACGTTTTCATGGACCTCACAAATTTTAGAGTTCTCAAATGATTAAGCCCCCAAATATGTTGGTTACCAAGTGAAATGGAGTCTGAAAATGGCTAAAAAGTGAAACCCCTTTGGCAGATTGGCTATTTCCGTAAATTTTCTAGTAGTTTATTAGGATATTTGGACTTATTTGGCGTTCTATAAAACCGATTTTGATGTAGTGGTGCATACGAAAAGTTGCTAAATTTCGCTTTTGGTGATTGTAGGTTGTGATGAGGAGAGCCCAAAGCATGGCTGCGGCGGCATGGTCCCGCCCTTCCCTTGATATATCATCATGGACGTGCATGGGTCCTCGCCGACGTCCCACCGCCACATCTCCGGAGCCTTCTCCTTCTAACACCGAACCCGAAAGTATATCAACGACACTCGAACTCCCGGTATCTGCATCAGATGGGGAACACGTATGGCAATCGGAAGGCGCCGATGAAGGTGTCGATAATCTTACGGGGCCAAGTAGTCACGAAGATCGAATGACTGAATTCGAATTATGGGAACAACTCGAACACGAACTATACGACCAAAGTGAAGGCGAGGAGGCTGACGTCGCAAAGGAAATGAGGGAAGAAGAAGAAGCGGCTATTGCGGAGGGTCGTAAAGGCCCGTCCGAGACCAATACTCCCGAGACAAAAGAGGCGCATAGATTTTTTCCGGCAGGAAAGATTATGCATATAGTGACGATCCCGAAAGTTAAGACGGAGGACGAAAACGATGAGACGTCCTCGAGTGACGACGAAAACGACCACGATCATGATCACGATCGGGTGGTGGATGAGAAAGTCGCGATTTTCCTGACCCAGCGATCGTTGTATAGTAAGATTAGATTGTCGCGCAGTATGATAACTGATCATTTTATGCCGATTTATAGAAGAGAAATCGAGAAACTAATACGAGAACTTGAGAAAGAAGAGACATCATCGTCAAGCAGTAGTAGCTCGGAAGAAATCAAGGTGGTGTTATAGCTAAAGGTAAGCGGTTCAACAAACCCATGGTCGAACCATGGGTATTATGGCTAACCATGTTGGGTGCGGATGATGGTGGTGGTGGTTCGACTGAGTCTTGTATATAGAGGTTAAGCCACCAACTCATTAGTTGATATAGGCGCACGCTTGTTCTGTTTATTGTGGTTATAAATGAGCCAAAAGTTTTGTTGCTTTAGTGTTTGTTTCTTTTTTTATAAAGTTATGTATATGAATTAATCTAACTGTGTAGATTGGAAAAGTTTTGATGAAAGAAACGAATCTTTTAATTGAGAGGGACATGTTTAGAAAAATATTTGGCATTCCGCGTAAAATTCTCTTCTAGAAGCTTACTGATCCCGTATGGATAGAATTGTGTATGTAGATTAATTTGACTATATAGATTTGGAAGATTTTTATTTCCGAGGATTTTTTTCATAGATGAAATGAGCATACAGCAAGGGGCGGGTTCAGAATTTTTTTTGGCTCCTTAGGTGGTTAGCACTTTTCGGGTAAGACACGCTTACCAACAATCCATTTTGTCGACTTGCCCTATGAATTAGCGATGATGCTAACTCTTATAACCGGTAAATATCTCTTTGTTAGCAGCCTAATGAGACTCACATTTCACTCAATCAGTTTTATATGACTATTTAGTATTGACTTAATGACATAGAAAGTGTCTTGTTCAGTAAGCCAAGAGGTGCTTTAATGATACATAATTTTTTTCCAGCTCCTCCTGTATATGAAAAGAAGAAATCTTAATCGGATGCACGATATTAATTGATACAAACAGTTTTATCCATTGACGACTTAACGAATTCCTAAAAGTTTGGTAAACTTATTGTGAACATTTTATTTATTCATGTCTAAAATTTTCCGCGTAGCAAACACGCAGAAGAAACCACAGAATTCTTGGGTTCAGAAAATTTCTTACTGACTTTTGTTCTTAGATTTCATATATCAAAGTAGAATCGTTCGTTAGCTCAGGTAAATGTAAATCTCAACCAAAATGGCGCTTCATTCAGGAAAATCGGAGTCATTTCTCGATGACGATGGCATTCTACCTCCAACAACAATTTCTAGCTCTTAAGCGACGAAATCGATCGGTATTTCCAAGCCATCAACGAAACTCGACGATCGATCGATTCTGGAACACCTACGACCAAAGAAGGGCGAAGTCGGTAAGATCGCCAATGTTATACCTTGAGACGAGATGGGCAAAACCAAATCGCGATGGCCAATTGTTATGAAGAGGGCATTATGTATTTATTTATAGGGCCAAAAGAGGGCCCGGACCCAACAGAGAAAAGGGGCCGGCCCATAACATGGACTTTCTTAGATGGTCTAACCGGTTTGGCCCGGCCCAGGACCACCGAAGGACTAGTCAGATGTAAGCCGTTAACTGGAGATGCTCAAAATGGGTCCGAGACGGGCCTAGGACAAGTTATTGACCGACAGTCAGGGACCGGTTGTGTTTTTTTATGGAAATCCAATTGCCTAAGACGGGTTACGAGATTGGATTTTTTTCAAATTAATATTATAAGCTATATATATATCAAGTGTTTCAATACTAAATCTCAAAAATAATAATTATAAAAACATATGTAAAAAATATATTTGAGTGATCCAATTAAATATTTTAAATTTTATTTCAATAAGATATTGTCCAAAAAAATCTTCAAAGAAGACTTTTTTATACATTAAAAATTGGTTTTGGGGGAAAAATTGAAACCGGGACCAGGTATTTTTGTTGGGACCGGGACCGATTTGCATTCAGTACCGATTTGTGCCCATTTTTACTCGTTAGGACCTGTTAAGGACATTTATAGATTTTTTTCCCTTAACGACCGGTTAAAAAGACCCATTTTCTATTTCAATTTTGAAGATCAATATATTTAAAAGGAGTTTTCTGATAACTATTGATGCCTCCATATTTGAATATGAGCCGTAAAAGTAAGATGAAAATGACGTTAGAGGATAGACTTCAATAAAAAGCGAATTTTGAAGTTTATATCAGGGGTCGTTTACTAATTTCTTCTTACCCGGATAAGCGTTTATCAAGTTAGATTACCTTATCATATAAATATGGCAAGAACCAAAAATCTTACATGGTTAGAGCGAAGCAAGGATCGAGAGTCTTACCCAGTAAGTAAGGGCAATGGCTCTTACCATAACTAACGATTACCGGGTAAAATTGTTGCATAAGATGCCGTTTTTGTTAACTAAAATCTTATCCGATAAGTAAATGATAGTATTAAATTTTATCTACAAGTGCTTATCGAAGTAAATGTTTGATAAACGGTCTCTTAGTGTATCAATTATAGTAAAAAAAAATTGAAGAAAAAGATATAATGATAATAATAATAATTTTCTTTATTTAAAAAGATGGGTCAGTTACGAGAGACCATTGGATCTAAAAAATAGACGGCTAATATTTGAACCCCTATAATCGTGAAGTTGGTTTCGGAAAGATCTAACCGTCCATTTTGTTCACAACCATTGAATTAATCATGATCGATGGTTGGTAGTCTCTAGTCAATGCGTCTTTCAAGATGTGGTTTAAACATATATTTTGTATTTTTACTCAATATTATTAAATAATTTAAATTTATATAGAAGGTAATGTAATTACAAATAATACAAAAATTTAAAAGGACAAATTAGATGAAAAAATAACGTACTTTAATTTGATTATTATTTTTGGTAATGTATTTTAAAAACTTCCATTTTAGTACCTAAGATGTAAAGTTTTAAACATTTAAGTACCCGGATAACCGGTTAAAGTCTAATTTTAGATTAAAAAAATCCATATTACTGACCACGTCAACAAATAATACCGAGTTAGATTAAAAATGTTGTACCATAATTGTAAATTTTGAGTTGGACACCATTATTTGCAACTTTTGGAGAATATTATTACAAATCTTAAATAGAAAATGTTGGTATGATTCAAAAAGGTAAACCATGATATGGATTCAATAATCAATACATTTCACTTTAATGCTTTTGTATGATCCAAATCAACCATTTTGTGATTTTTGTTTTCTAAATTCCACCGTTGATCTTCACGTCCTTTACAACCATAAATGTCCAACAATAACCAATTCGTTTAAATTTGGTATTATTTTATATTTATATATATGAAAATTGTATAAAAATGTTTATAAATTATATTATTTATTTTATTTGTGTTAATTATAATTGTAAAATAACTTTTGGGGCAACTTATCTAGTTCTATCATGTCCAGTCCTAATCGTACCAAATACTAGTCAGACATTTGTTTTGTCCAGTCCAATCATGTCCAATTCTATTATCTTGTCTTGTCCTGTCCAATTTTGTTCAATCATGTTTGCATACCAAACGCAACCTTGGGGTGCGTGTGTTTGGTAAGATAGGACTGAACGTAATAGAACAAAAGATTACAGAACATTTGTTCAACGTTTGGTAACATATGACTTGACAGAACATGATTGACAAAATGACCAATTTATGTTTAATGAGTTGTTTATATTTTTGATTAATTTACATAACTTATTAAATTATAATAAAATAAATATTTTTTATGACTAAATATATCATTAAAAAGTTTCATCAACATGATTAAAATGAAACTAAAATATAACCTTCACTAATTTTCAAATTTGATTTTTACCTTTTGTATCTTATTATTTTTATTACTAATAATGAATTACATAAATGAACAAAAATATAGAAAACGTATAAAATTATTATTTTGAGAACAAAAAGTTTAAAAATGATAAAAAAAAAATACAATAAATAAAATTTAAATAATGAATAAAAGGTAAAAAAAAAAAAAAAGACGTATCAGATGTTTTAGAAGAAACTTAAGTTTTATTTTGATGACATATTGGTAAAATATAGGATTGTTCCACCTTATTCCATGGTGCAGGCGTGGGGGGTAGAACATGTCTGTTCCACTTTGTTCTTCTATGTTAAATGTAAATGTCATATCGATCATTGTTCTGTCCTGTTCATACCAAACACATCCTTAACCAGACAGAACAGGACAATTTTCACGTTTTATGTGACATTAGACTGGTATAAGACATGACACGATTGTGATAAAAATGCATTTTTTTTCTATCCCATCAAATAAATATAATCAAAATCACAAAACTAGACAAGAATTGTAAATTACTAAACTACCCGTCTGCAGCTAAAAGTTACAGAATCTTGATGTAGCAGCCGACCACTTGGTACAACCACAATGGTTGATTTAAGAGGGACAAAAGAGTCCAATGATTTGGCAAGGATTATCAATACCAAAAGCTACTTTCCAATCCACCTTTCCCCACAAAAGCATCTTCAATACAGACCTCATCCAAAGAGAATCATCAACACTACAGCTCAAATAAGAGGTTACTTTTGGTTGATTTTTTTTTGCCCACTTTTGTTCAATATATAAATCAAACCAAACAATTCCAGTATATCCCACCTAAATATGGGATCTAGGAAAGATGAAATGTATACAGATCTGACCTCTACCCAAAAAGTAGAACAATTGTTTTCCTTGAATTATTGCATAGTGGACCACAAGGGTTGGGGTGTAGTGGTTGAGGCTCAGCGGAATGTAGTGGAATATCCTATTTACCTTGGGTTCAATTCCAGGCATCCACAACAATTGTGGCTACTGAGTTTATCAGGGCTGATCTCTTACGTTCACAAGTTATCGGGATTAATCTGAACATAGCCTGAGACACCTTTCCAAAAAAATATAATTGCATAGTGTTGGGAAAAGGGAGATACTTTTAACTTTTCCCATACCCACCTTTCCAACTCCAACCTCCTAAAACATCAAGGGTTATAACATGATCAAATTCTTGAAAATGGAGCAGAAAGCTTTTCTAATTGGTTTCAGAATCAACTCAAGCCTCAAGGCACCAAGTTTAAGCTTTTTTGGAAATGAATGATCCCAGCTTTCGCCCAGACTAATCCCATGGCAAATCATGACCGTAGGTTTTATAGCGGTGAGGTAGATCTCTCAATGGCCACAAATTGATATGTAGATGGCAGGATTCAAACCCGGGTTGACTAAGTTCTAACTTTTAAACGGAATTAGGGCCTGTTTGTTAGTGGCTTAATGAACTTATTCAGTCAGCTATACATGATTGTTTGATAGTGGTTTAATGATATAAAAAGTGGCTTATTCAGTAAAGCTTCTAGGGGGAGCTTTATGCATAAAACCAAGTTTTTTTTTAACTTGCCCCTCCCAGTTAAAGAGCACACTCCTTCCTTCTACGGAAAAACCCTCCAAATAAAAACCTTTCCAATCTATATATAGACAGATTAATCCGACAACTTTATCCGTACATGACTTAATAGAAAACCAACCTAACAGGCCCTAATAGGCCTATGAGAACTGAACTATTCCATAAAGATTACCTTTCTGTGTTCAGCTTTAAATGTTAAAACTGTGAATCTTGATGATAAATGCTAGTTTAGAAAGAAACAAGTATTATTACAGAAACAAATTACATGGATGATTAACCAAACCCCACTGCATTTATCAAGATTTTGTCGGGATCATTTGAAATCCATGAAACTAAAATTAATAAAAAAGAAAGAAAACATGCTTAAATCATGTGAAAGAACTAACGAAGAGACGTTTTTAAACAAAAATTACAACACGGGTTGTGACATTTAGTAGCTTGAATCGCCAATTATGAAACCTAACAAAAGATGGTAAAGATCAGGGATGAATCATCGTAATAAAAGACTTACAGAAAACGCATTTCGTTTAGCCAGACCTCCCTCTCTTTTTGCCATCAGATCTAGTTGTGCCGCCTGATTCTGCTTCAGATGATGCATCCATCGATTTGCCAAAAGAGTTTGAAAGATCGCCATAAAGATCAACCACCCTTTTAACGTTGTTGTTCAGCTCTCTGATTAAACCCACATTTCTTGTCAAGTTAACAGGTAATTTAGATTCTTGATTCTGATTGATCTCGTTGATCAGAACCCGATTTTGGTCCAAAATTTTTTGGACTTGTACAAAGCTCTTTTGAAATGTCTGTATTAGTTTCCCGTCTACTCCTAATTGTGATTCATTTCCCGTTCCTGAAAATATATCTCCTTCCATTTGTTCTTCCTTTGTGTGAATGAATCAAAACCAGCCAAACTTAGAGACCTGTAATTATGTAAAATCAAGAAAACAACAAGAATGGAAACGAGTTAGGAATCTAAACCACCGATAAAAACAATCACAAGGGTTGTGGCGTAGTGGATGAGGCCCTGGGGATGTGGTGGAATATCCCATCTGTCCAGGATGTTATTCCAAGCGTACACAACAATCGTGGCCAGTGAGATTATCACAGCTATTTCTTGCGGTCACAATTTGCGAGGATTAGTCCAGGCTAGCCTGAGACGCCCCTCCAGAAAAACAATCACAAACACTTTCCGAAAGAGCAATCATAAATCTTTATGGATCCTAGCAATTTTTCAGTTCTATTTTCGAGCTTGGATTTGGATTAAGATAAAGCAATCTACCTATTGATGGTTCAACCTGCTTTTTGTGGATACATTGTTTTAAGGAAATGTCTATATACAATGCCCCAAATTGGTAATTAGGATTCAAAACCACAATTTTGATATTTAAAGCTCAAGATATATATAATTATACAAACATGATGGACAAACATTCCAGTGGAACACAGAAGAACAGACAAAGATGCTAAAAGAAGAAAGAAATCAAATGAAAAAAAAAAGATCCTGACCTCTTCTTCATGGTATAAAGAGGAAAAAAAGGGCTATTATTTTAAGAAATGAACTGAGTCCCCAACCCCAATTAAACTCATCACAAGAACCCAATTACACACAACAACATCATGAACAGTTGCAATTTTTTAAAAAAGATGGCAATTCGTCGAACACCCAGAAGGCATATTACAGATGAAAGCCAAATCCATAAAGAGGGTCGAACAAAATCGAAAAGAAACATTAATTCGTGGAATCACATCAACGATAGACACACTACACTAGGTGAAACCAAAAAAAGGGAAGATGAAATCAATTGAAAAAGAGAAATTTACCTGGAAAATAAAGAACATTATTTGCAGGAAACGTCAAAAAGGGTATCGAAATCAGGTAGTCCCCAAAGGCTGAGATTAAGCAGAGACCCTGAAATCATTAGCAAGAAAAGAGAGAGATACGATTTGAGTCCTCCGTATATGAAGATTTGACAGTACACACGAAGTGTATTTTGGTTATCTTTCTCTCTCTCCTCGTTTACTTCACCTGCGGGATTCTCCGTTGTTTCTGATTGCGTTTTTCCTTTTTCTTTTTTCTGGATGAAAGAAGACGACTTTTCGCCCTCATGAGATGTACCAATGTTTCCCCCTTTTGTATGTCAAACGAACCGGGTTTTCACTAACCGGATATTATCCGATCCAATCCGACCCGACCCGACCTGACCTAATCCCTAATTTCCTTGATTTTGACATAAACCCATTATTGGTTGTGGATCCAATCACTTCTCATCATCACACCCAATCAACCCTTGCACGTTCAGAGGTGTATCAACCATTGGTTTAAGCTTTTTATATTTAAATCCATAGTCACTTCAGGGTCATTTTAAGGGTGTATCGCTTAATAGTTTATTTATAGTTAATTCATTCAGTTATATTTATATATGATTATTTGGTAATGGCTTGATATAGAAAGTAGCTTATTCAATAAGCTTTAAAAAAAAAATTATGTAGAAGGTCAGTTTCTTTTTCAAAATTGTCTGTCTGGATTAAGAAATACGTTTGTTTCATCTGTGAAAAAATCGTCCAACCCAAGATTCTTGCAAAATATATACAGATTGATTAATCCACACATACACCTTTATCCATGCAAGACTTAATGTAAAACCAACGAAACAACCTCTAATTAGTTTTGTATGGATAAACTTGTATGTATGTGTGGATTAATCTGTCTGTGTAGCTTGAGAAAAATTTTGTTTGGAAGTGTTCATCTATAAATGGAAGGAAGGTGTTTTTTAAATGGAAAAGACAAATTTTTGGGGGAAAAACTTTGTTTTCTACATAAAGTTTTCTCCTATAAGTTAACTGGATAAGCTACTTGATATCATTAATTTACTATCATATAGTTGTATATATTTGACGGAATAAGCTGTGAGCTCCATTATGTTGCTAACAAACAAACCCCTGAATTTAATAAGAGGGAAATATATATATATATGATGTAATAGTTGATTTAACTGATAATGGATTTATGTTTTTATGAAATACGATGTTATTTTCATGATTAAAATGATTAAGTTGATATCTTATGGTTGATATTGGCATAGTAAGGTGATGCCTTATTGTAATGTAGGTGGACGCATGGTAGCGTTCATGATTATAGCATATCGTGTCCAAGATCAGATCGAGCTTGTTGGCCAACCACTGTTTGTGTTCATTCTTTAGTGAGTTAGATTGCAACCATCTTACCTTTAACGTACCTGCATCACATAGTTTCATCCTCATTATGTAACATATGTTGTGGCATGGAGTAGGTCATGCTACGTCTTCAAGAATCCCCTCAAACGACTTAGTGTGAGTTTATCTACAAGACTACAATTGGGGCATAACTCATTTTAGTTGTGCATGTCAAAAGTGCATGGATGACGATGATACTGAGAAGTACTGTGCATGAATAATTTACGTAAACAGATAAACACTTTGTTCAATCCAGGTAAATTTTACTGATCGAGACTATCTGTTGAATAGGGAAAAGTACTGTGCATGAATAATTTACGTTCCTATATAAGGATATTCATCCAAAAAGTTCAGAAAAGGCATCTTATTTAGTGGACAATATTTATCAGGGTTTGAAAGAATATTAGAATATTTAATACAAATTCAAACAAGATCTCTTATTCCCCTTGCTAATCGAACCTTGTTGACTGCAACATCTATCAAAAAGAATTTTTCTTGAAGTTGAAATTATTGAAGATACGTTTGAGGTTATCAGTGACACAAGAAATGTTATGTGTTGCAAATGATATACAGGACAATACTGATCTTGATAAATAATACTGATAATTTTGGGTATAGGAGGGCCCAAATATTTTTTTTACTTATGAATTATTAGTATTTTTTATATTTAATGCAGAGAAGTAATCATTTAACGTTTGTTTTATTTCTAAAAATAAGAGCTTAAAATCTCTAAATGTTCTTTGAAATTTTAAGTGGTAAACGTATTCCTTAATACCTCGTAATTTTAATCAGCCCTCTATCAAATGGTTCATATTTTGGGGGCTGGAAGAAATTTGTTAACAAACACTATTTATCTTTTATTATTTTGTAAAAAACTATTTATCTTTTATATTTTTGCACTAGTTTGACTGATTCAGATTTCAGACGTAAAAACAAATACTTTTGTTAATCTAGATTTCAGACTTTAAGACCACCTCTTATAAATTAAAGATGAAATCAGACTTCAGACTTCAGCACCTTTTAAAAAAAACAAACACTACCTTAGAATTTTATATACTGACATTATTTATAATGTTAAGGGCACCTAAATCTTGTTTACAAGTATGGTCAATAGAGGTGTACTTTTATGTAATGTGGTGTAATTTATTACAAATAATGACAATAATATAATATATGTTGGTGTGTACTTGGTATAATTTTCCTAATTTAGTTGTCTATTGTTCTCGTTTTAAATTAAAGTGGTGTATGTTTTTTTTTAAGAGGTGATGAAATCTGAAATTCTATTTCATTTTTTATTTATAAGAGATGGTGTTGAAGTCTGAAATTTGAATCAATAAAACTATTTGTTTTTGTAAACTGATAAACGTCTGAATTTATTTATATTGTATAGTTCAACCATTAAAAAACTACAACGTTGAATTTATAGGCAAATTTATACAATTTCACATTTTTATTTATCGTCATTACGAAATTTATATCTAAATTATATAATTAACATTAATTTAAACAAAAATATGTCATTAGTGGTATTTAACACATTTAAATCATATTAAAATACATCAATTGAGAGAGGTGAAGATTGATTGATAATGATCGATTCAGAGAAATGATCGATTAAGGTTAATTGATTGAGAAACGTCATTGTCAAGAGTTTGGAGAACAATAAGAGACAAATAAGAGGTTAGTTTACACCTCTTACCAAATAGGAGGACAATAAGACATAAGTGTATCTGAAAAATTGAAAAAAAAAAAAACAAACAGTCTAAATGACCTTATCTTTTAACGAACCAGATATAATAGATTAATAAGTGCTTTTTGTTAAAAAAAACAAGGTATGAATTTGATTTTGTGAACATACATGTACATTTAATTTGTTATACCAAATAGGAGAACAATAAGACATAAATGTATCTGAAAAATTGAAAAAAAACAAATAGTCTAAATGACTTTAATAAGTGGTTCTAACAATTCATCTGATCAACATATGTGACTTTGACTGTGAAATATCATATAATTTCTTACATAGGTATGCGAAATATAGGTGAGTAGTTTCGTAACTTTTACAAAGAGGTGACAAATTGATTTGATTCATATGTGAACACGTGTGATTCACATATGAACTATATATTTATATATGAACCTATTAATTAGTTTACATGTGAACTATTTAACTGATTCATATATGAACAAACAGGTTCATATGTAAATTAGTTAATTAGTTTATATGTGAATCAGTTAATTAATTCATATGTGAATCTCAATGGTTCATATGTGAATCAATTAATTAGTTAATATGTGAATCAACTGGTTCATATGTGACTAAGTTTAAATAATTCATATGGATTTTCACATATGAACCCGTTTTCTGTTTATTTGAAAAATTATGAAACCATCCCCTCTATTTTTTGTATATCTGCAATTATTGACCAATCAAATCCGATATTGACCATATGAAGGGCTAAGATAATTATTTTACTTATCAGATATTTATCACTTCTCAAACTATTATATATATTTTATGTATATATATTATATATTTTAACCGCAGTTCATGTAATTACTGAATTTTAGTGACCAAAACCAAAAATCAACCCAGACGCAGACGAATAATATAATTTATTCTAAATATTATGAAATGCAACATCATAATGTTGTGTACGTGTGTATATTAATCAAAAAAATAACTAAAACAATTTTTTGATTAATTTATTATTACATGACAAGGAAAATTGCATGAAAATGTAACGTACTTCAACTTGATTCTTATTTTGGGTAACATATTTTTAAAATTTCCGTTTTAGTATTTAAGATGTAAAGTTTTAAATATTTAATTAACCGGTTACCATACTGATGTGACGAGTGATGAGATAAAATTTATTAGCAAAATGCTCTGAAGGTAAAAAAAAACCAAAATATTCACAGCAAAAATACACTTTCAGAGTGTTTTGCTTTGAAGTTTTAAGTGTAAAAAATTTGTAACCCCATCATATATATATATATATATATATATATATCTATACTATATTATAAAACATTTGAAAAAAACTCTTAAAAACCACTTTTTATGCATAAAGTACTGTTTATTAATTATGTTACTTAAAACTTAAGATTACAAGTATATTGTGCATAAGTACAACTTATTAAAGCTTCAAATCTGAATTCGTGTAACTAAGTAACTAACTACAAATAAACATAATCAAATACAAGATAAACATCTTATTTTAAATATAAAAAATCTAAAATATAATTAAGATAATCATTGAGTTCTTAATTATTATCTTTATAAATGTTATATTATTCATTCAAAAATAAATTATTTCATTATTAAACTTAAATTAAATTATAATAAAAAAATAAATTAAAAAAATTACATAAAAAATAAGAACTTTTATATAGTTGACTTGATATTAACATTGATATTTTTTTTTTCAAATTTTTATGATATATTCAAAATTATATTTTATTAAAAAAACATTATTACTTTCTTAAAAACATATTAAATCGTATTATAACATCGACAAATACAAAAAATAAAATAGAACATTAAAATCGAGATGTATCTCGCTAGATTGCACGAGTATACTTCTAGTATATATATATATATATATATATATATATATATAAATTGATACACGTAACTCATCAATAATTAATTAAATTTGAACTTAACACCCATTTTAAGTATTTATTTGTGAGTAAAAATATTAAATATTAGATTTTTTTATTTCTGATTCGTATATATAAGAAGCCCAATCTGATTCAAATGGGATCCATAAGAGGCCCAAAAAGGTGCCCGCGGGTAAACATCCAAGTTGTTTACGTTTCGTCTCCGGAACCAGAAACCGTTTTCCATGGCTTCCGATTCTCCCATTGCTTCTCGTAAAGGTTAGCTCACTATGATCACATTGATGAAGAACAAATTTGTAGGTTCTGTTATCTTAATTTAATGTTCATTGGCTTTGATATGCAGTTGTCGTGCATTTGAGAGCCACTGGTGATGCTCCCATTCTCAAACAAGCCAAATTCAAGGTATTGCTTCAGTTTAACCTAGCGGATTGGGGATCTTCTTATGATCATTCGTACGTTAAGTGTGATTGTCATTTAACGTCAGCACTTATTGTTTGGAGTATAGGAAATGAGTTGTTGAAAACCCTAGCTCAGCTTCTATTTACTTTAGGAATAGTAAGATCACATGTATATGTGATTTGAATTGATGAACCATGATATGTGTTGTTTGCATCTGGCTATTACTTACGCAGCTGATGCTTTATCTTCATTAACGAGGCACCTAATCGATATTTCGAGTTCAAATCTCAAACACCTGAATCTTCGATAACTAGTTTTAGTTTAAGAAGTTGTGCGGCGAAGTATTGGAGATATTTCCTCGATTTCTAGTTTTTTACTTAGATGATCAACAACTTTGATTTTTGCTGAAATTGTTTTGGTGGGCAAAAGGTCATTATGGGTTCAATTAGATCTTCATTGTGTCGTTATTGCACTTGTTTTTGTCCATATCATTCATTGCTCAACATCTATGATGTTATTGATAGTCATGTAAATGTTTTTTTATTGAATTTTCAGATTGCAGGCACCGATAAGTTTTCCAAGGTGATTGATTTTCTTCGTCGGCAACTTCACAGGGAGACTCTTGTAAGTAGCTTAATGGTCTCAACTTCTGAGTAATACAATCTTTGAGCACATGAATAAATTGCGCCATCTTTGTCCTTTTTCAGTTTGTTTACGTGAACAGTGCCTTCTCGCCGAGTCCAGATGAACTAGTAAATGACCTGTATGATGTAAGTTTCTTTATATGCATATAAATGACCATTTTATTGGATGACCCATTTATTTTGTCAAATAGACAAAGATAAGGTTGACTGATATCTAATCTGCTACAATTAGTTAGATACATGCTTTTTAATTGGAAATATCTCAATGACCTCTGGCCTCTGTGATGATTATCTTTATTTTTTAAGTCTAGATGTATTTTTAGAACTCACCACTCAAAAGAATAAATATCTTAATGGAGAAAATTGTGTAGTGGCTAGTTGATGTACTCCTAACTCTTAATGAGATGGACTGTTGCAGAGTCGGTAAATGTTGCTATTCTTTCATGTAACTGCTACTACTTTGATGCTGCAGAATTTTGGATTCGATGGGAAATTGGTGGTTAACTATGCATGTTCTATGGCTTGGGGCTAACTTTTACCGTTTAGCAAAGTCTGTACAGCGGCAAAAACTCATTAAACGGGAGCTGCATTTGGTAAATATGGTTAATATCTTCTCCCTGTATTTTGTTTGGATACTCTGTAATTGATATTCATATCATCTTTCAGAAGAACCTTCTGATACTTCCCCAGCCCTTATCTTTTACATTCTATCAATATAATTCAACATCTTGGTATTGATGGTCTTGAGTTAACTTTGAAGACAACTCACCTATCTATTATTTTACTTAAATAGTTAACGTCTTAATGAGTTACAACTCAGTAAGTCAAAATTGATTGACCAACTCAATGCATTGTAGCTGGGTGTGAAGATGTTTGAAAACATGGTAGGTGATGTGAAGTAGTCGGATATACCAGGATGGGACATGAGCCAGTGCCGAATTAGAGGTGACACCCTCACTAAGCAAGCATTTTAAGAATGTCTGATCCTCACTTTATAAATATTAAGAAGATAAAAGCATAATCACAGGGTGTCTTATTCAGACAAGGAGATGATAGGGTGGAGGCATATGCCTAATTTGCTTTTTTGGATATATGCAGTTAGAATGTATTAATTTTTTCATCTACCCGCTGCAGCTCGTCTATTTGCAACATCTCTTCACCACCAACTACCTTATTTCTTTTTGTAGCCAATTAGCCATACATTATTTAGTTCTAGTTGCTACATCTTTGAATCAATGAGATGCAAATTGTTGGTTATGGTATCATAACGAACTGCTAATGCTGGCAAGTATCAGAGTTTAAATCTTTCTATGTATTTGCACATAGAGAGAGAACTATGGCCCAACAGAACCATTTTTGTTAGATCCGAGTAATTTTGAAATTTCATAGATTGCAACATCTGAATAACCTAGAAATTTAGAGATGGGCATGCAAAAATGTACTTGCAGAGATAGTGTAGTTTCACACATCCCATTGCTGAAATAGACTGGACAAACTTCGCTACAGAAGCCCACTACCAGCGCCTTCCAGGTACTTGTTGACCCAGTCCAAAGTTGAGGGGTTCTCATCGGAGAAATCAAAGAAGTCATCTACATCAAACTTGACCTTCGAGCACTCAACTCTAGCTCCATCATCTATGGTGTGGACATCCTCTTCTCTCATGTCCTTGCTGACTCTTTCTAGTGCCTTCCTTTCTTGATCTAATTTGCTTCCATCTCTTATTAAATAACATTCACTTTGTTTTTTCTTCTTTTTGCTTAAATAACAATTCCAGTAGTTCTTGATCTCATTATCGGTTCGACCAGGTAGTCTTCCCGCTATCAGCGACCACCTAATACATATATTTAGAGGACAAGAACCATCAATTAGGGTGCTTTTGGTACACTGGACAGGACATAACAGAACAAGGATCAATGTTCCACTTTTGGCAGAACTTTTATGTGGAAGTGACAGGAATAGAGTGGAACAAAGTGGAATACGCGTCATCCACCCCCACCCCCACCCCATGGAACAAATATGTTTTACCAATATAACTTCAAGGTAAAACTTAATTCTCTTTTAAAACATCAAATAAGCCTTCCTCTTTAGATTTTATTCATTTTTTTAAATTTTATTTATTGTATTTTATGCTCTTTAAACTTTTACTTACTGTCCTCAAAATATTATTTTTATATTGTTTCTATATTTTGATTAATATATGTAATTTATTAAGTATTAATAATAATAAAATAATATAAAGGTATAAAATAAAAATTGGAAACTACATCAAACTTTTTATTTTGGTACCATTTTAACCGTTTTGACGAAAACTTTCTAATGATATATTTTGTTATAAAAAATATTTATTTTACTATAACTTAATAAATTACATAATTAATCAAAATATATAAATATATATAAACAACCCATTAGTGGTAAATTGGTCATTGTATCTGCCCTGTCCAGTTTTGGCTTACCAGACGCTGAACAACTTTTATGTCCTGTTCTATCCTGTCTGGACACCAAACCCACCCTTAAGGACAAGATGCATAAACTAACCACACCATGAATATTATTATATGATTCTAGTAATCAGTTGTTGACAATTAGGATGATGAGCGGAAAGAAACAGAGAATCCAAAGGAAGAGAAGATGCTAACCTGTTTCCTAGAAGTTTATGAAGCCTAAGAATCAAGTCCTCCTCTTGGTCAGATATGTGGCTTCTCTTGATATTTGGTCTCAAATAATTCAGCCACCGGAGCCTGCAGCTCTTACCACACCTCTTCAGACCTGCATATTTGATTTGATAACTTAGGGGCTGTTTACCATCTGCTTACTGGTAAGAGGCGCTTACCCAGTCAGAGATGCTGCTTGTTTACCAAACCCCTCTTGCTGACCAAGATGCTACCCCGTTATTGATTCGTGCTGACCTGGACTGCACCCTTACCTGGTTAGCGCTTACCCAATTTGTGTTGGTAAAATGGCTCCTTTAGCCACATGCTTTGGTCATATTTAACGTCTTACATGTATGTATTTGTTTCAGTTCATATCCGTACCTGCTTTAGCTGCAATGACTGGCCATTTCGTTGGACCATATATCTAGATAGCTTCAGCTAGGCTTTTCATCTTCTTCTGCTGTCCACATTCCCTGCTAATCTCTTTTTTTACAGATTTGTTCATCCTTGAGTCCATTTGATAGGGAATTATGTTTCTTGGCGAAGCAAGCACACAGATAGGCAAAGGTGAGTGATTGCATCTGTTGTGTTTGTGCTGAGAAATTGTTTGGATGGAGTTTCCATAAAGTTATTCTATAGGGACAAAAGGCTTTGACTATGAAAGAGTGAGAACCAACAAAATAACATTTAGAAGATCCATTATTCACACAAAGGGGCTTCTAAACATATAAATAGTCAAAATATTCCATTAGTGCACCAGTGTTTAAACCAAACCAAATGAACCTAGTATATCCTAGTCGAAAGTAGGGTTTGGGAGAGGTAGGATGCAAGCAGACCTTACCTCATGCGCTAGGAATCAAGAGGCTGTTTCCGTGAAGACCCCCGGCTTGTACACGACACAAGGTGTGTGCATGCTAACAATAAGATAGATTATGTAACAGGTAGAACACCAGATATACTACGATACCCTTGTTCCAAATTAAGGATCGGAAAATCTACGGGAACAATGCTTTATTGGCTTGTATCTCACTCCTATCCATGCATACTGTCAAGTTATTAAATTCTCCCATAGAGTCCCAATCATTTGTAAACCTCTTAATTCATACAAACCAATCTCAACCGTCCATCTAGTCTAATGAATATTTGGTCCTATAAATATTCGATTGTTTCCTAATCCAAAGCGTTGATTACAACGACCGAACTCCATAAATATTCAGATCATAATAATGAACCCTCATCATTTCCATAAATATCTCACTTGGTTGGTTTGTATAACTTAAGAGGTTTGCAAATGATTGAGACTTTTTCCCATATAATAATTATGTATATATGCTTGGCCTTGCTACAGTTATCAGCTCTTACAAATCATCCTACCCTGGAGGAGATCATTAAAGGTCAGTTAGGATTTATATTATATATATATAGACGAAGGATCGTGTGAGAATAGGAGTTAAGGTGAGAAACATAAGAAGGGATCTGAACCCTTGATCACTTTTAATCTAACTCTCACCCAATGAATTGCGCTTATCGCGAGAATTGATAGTGTTGATTTTCAATTAGGATTGATCCAAGATCCCTTCTTACCCTTCTCCCCATAACTTTCATTCTCACCGGAACCCAACCCTATATATATACACACACACACACTCTTTGGTGAATGAATCTGTTTTGTTGATAAAAATGCAAACAAGAAGGTGGTACCAAAGGGTTAGGTTAGGGATGACATGGGTTATGATATAAAGGTTAGGTGAAATGATAGCCTTATGATTGATTATATGCTTACAGAATTACACTATAAATAGTTTTAAAATGTATGCCATGCTCTGCTTCTTGATTATTCTATCTTCCACACTAAATGTGTCACTTGCCACTTATATTGAAGGCTGTTGCTGCTTGTTAGAGTTTAGAACTTGTGATAGGGATATCAACAGTCTATATTTCTTAGTGAATAACAGGTCAATAAGGGTGTGTTTGTCATGTGAGACATGACAGTACAATTGTAAAGCTGGTTGTCCCATGTTTAGTGCGACATTAGTTTGAGACATGACAAGATAAGATTAGTGAATTACTCTAAGTACCTGTTAGAGGTGGAACCATGATTTTTGCTGAGTAGGTGCACCTTTAAGGCGGATCAAAGGTCCGTAATGTCGTGGTTTGATCTCGTGGAGAAGTTAACGCAGTTTGAGCCGGGGAAAGTCAATTGTGTCAATTTGGGGAATAATTACATTTTTTTCAAATGGAATAGACTTTTTGAGCAAGATGCAAGCAATACGTCTTAGCGTAAGCCCGATGTGTTTTTAGCCAAATTCTATCATTTCGAGGTAGTTTTTCAGTTTTTTGATTGATTCGGAGGAATTTTTGGTTTTTTTGTTGATATCCCTTGTATTTTTCAATATCCTAGAGCACCCCTAAAATTTAGCTTGTGCACATTTTCATACCCAAAAAAATGTACTTGCGAAAATTGGTTAAACGGGTGCATGAGACCCTGCTGGGACCTTCACAGGTCCGTTCCTGATCCATGTCAAATGAAAACCCTGAAACCTTCCACAATCTTTCACCCACCTACCTCATGCTCGCTTGTCCAGTCTTGTTGGTCATGTCTGCGTACCATATGCACTCTTGCCGGGTTCAATTTGTCGAACCAATACGCATCCTAAATATACCGGTCATGGTTACATATCGATTCTTGATCAGTGCTGATATTATGAAATTTAGAGTTCCCTAGATGGATCCATGGGATAATTGGACTTTTTTTTGCAAGTCTCTACTCTTGAGGCTTGAAGAAGAAGGACGTAAATCCAAAATAAACCAGGTGTTTTTCATGTATGTCGATCTGATAGCGTATCTAAAAGGGTCAAAGTGTATAATTGACTCTTCTTTTTCTGTTAACCATGAGCATTCGGCCAGCTTGTATGCATTTCAACTAATCATAGGGGTCTGGATAACAGCCTGGAAAATTCCCCATGGTCAGATGGCCTTACAAAACTCGAACCGGTGACTTTTGATGAGTATCACAAAGTCCCAACCTTTATTGGTTCTTGGTATCATGTAAACTTGTTGCAGACTGCTTTGATGATTTCAAAGGCTGCAAAGGGAGAAAAATTTGGGTATTCCCTTATGCTTTGACACTAAGTTTGAGTTGAATAATTTAATTAAAATCTTAAGGGCTATTTACCAAACGCTTATCTGGTAAGCATTTCTCGGGTTATTTACCTTACCAGGTGAACATGATAAAGACTGAAAATCTTATCCAGTTAGAGCGATGACAAGAACCGAGAGTCTTACCCGGTAAGTGAGGCTGACAACTCTTACCCAGTAAGCGCTTACCGGGTCAATTGTTTCATACGATGGCATTTCGATGGACTAGAACCATACTGTGTGAGAGTGTTGATTCTTACTAGGAAAGTGTTTGGGTGAACGGCCTCTTAGTTTGAATGATAATCAAATGCCTGAAAAGTCTCTCAATAATGCTAAAATCTAGAGATCAAAATAAATATGTAAAGACTTAGAGGTGTTAATCGGTAGAAATCCGATTGATTTGGATCCAATCATCCAATGTATGTTGGACCTGATCCAATCCAATTAAGATTGGACATTCGTTCCAATCAAATCCGATGGATGATTGATCGGATAGGTTCCATCCGTTGGATACTACTATTGTATTGGATCTATTTAATATTTTGATACAATTTTCAACCAATTAATCAACCATTTCAACTAAATATTCATATGGTTTGTTAATTTATTAGAAATCACTACGTATAAATAGCAACCGAAAACAATATGATAAAATGTAATAACTATATATAGTTATTAATTGGATGGTCTCTGGATGAGATCAATTTGGTTTTATTGAATTTGGGACTACCATCCAAGAACCGATTGATCCTGGATAGTTGAAGTTTTGGACCCGATTCGATCCAATTACAATTGAATATTAATCGATCGGTTTAAATTAGATTGGATGACATTTAGTCTTTACCACTATGATAACACATGTGGCGCGGATGGGGGAAGGAAGATAGTGAGGGGGTAATTATCCAATTTCTGTATATCAAGATAAGACGTGACAACCATCAAAGCGATTACCAAATTTATCATTTTTTATATATGATAAAAATAATGTTAATCAAATTAATAGTTCTAAAATTCTATTTTTTATTTAATATATATTTATTTAATTCATTATTTAATAATTATATATATATATATATATATATATATATATATATCAAAGTGGAAGTTTTGAAATTACGTTACTTAAAATTAGAATCAAGTTAAAATACATTATTTTTTTCATGTAATTTGTCCAAAAATAATATTATCTTAGATGCATAAAATATTTCAATAATATAATTAACATTGTAATGTTCAAAGTAGAGAAGATTTTGAATAAATATACCTTTTTAAATAGGAAGAATATCTGTTGGAAATGTTGATGCATTAGAAAGAAGGGATAGAGAAAGTCTTTCTTAAGACCCATTCTCTACTCAATATTACTTGGCCAATCTGTCTGTTTGCATAGGTCATTGAGTCAACATTTGGGACCAAATTAGTTTGACCCCTTTTGGTTCAATCCATTCTGATCCTACAAAATACTTAATGTATGTGGCTGTGTTCCTATTCACTAGAACCTCTTCATTTTCTATCTATGTAAACAAACCATGGAATCCCCATTCTCAACTTCACTTTTCTTATACTGTGCCTCTGCCCTTCTCTTATTTGCTTTTTCCCTTGATTCCCAACAACTACAAGATTTGCAGCAGTTATCTCCACCTCCGCCACTGCCACCGCCACCGCCACCGCCAGGTTCAAGAAACACCTCAAGATCGCCGACACATCATAAAAGACACCATCCAGGTGCAAGAAACACCTCGAGACCACTGGCACATCATAAAAGACACCATCCACCACCACCACTACCAGGTGCAAGAAACACCTCAAGATCGCCAACACATCATAAAATACACCATCGTCATCCACAACTGACACCACGAAACCGCAACGTGGGAAAGAAAATTGGATTGGTCTTTAGCGGTGTGGCGGCGATCTTGCAGGTTTTTGTGGTCACTTTCTTGGTAATTCAGAGGAGGAAATTGATCAAGGCACATGACAGATATTATTAACATGCTAGAGGATTTTCATATTGGGAATCGTTTTTTTTATATTTTCTTTTAATCAATTTAATGACTTTGGAGGGAGAGATATATAGTGAAGGTGTTGTTATATGCACACCAATCTATATCATGATCAGATAAACTTTTATACATTAAACATGTAAAAAATAAGTTTTGATGTTGATATGTATAAGATAGAAACTAATAGATATGTATGCATTTAGCCTACAACTATCGTTAGGGTCAGTATTTGTTTGTTATTTTATTTTTGAGATTTTAAAGAATGACAAGACTTGTAATTGTCTTGTATACTTTCTTTATTGTTCTTCTTGTGAATTTGAGGTATGCACACTATCTTATTTGAAAAAGGATGAATTGCATCCTTTGCAAGGTTCTAAAACGGCATGAAGCGTGACGTTGCATTGCGGTGCAGTGCGGTGCGGTGTGGTAAAGCCTTAGGAGCCACGACGTATTTCAAGGCGTGACCGATGTCGGCAAATCTGTATATTATATATATAATTATATACATACATATGTTTTCAACTATTGCTTAATAAGCAAATGACACTAAACAATTTGATTTAGGTTATATACTACAAACTAAAAAGTAAGACACTCAAAAAGCTATGGAAAATCATTATCACATTACAAAAACCCTGCATTGGGCCATGGCAATTTCACAACCACATAGACGAAATTCGCAATCTTTAAAAAATCACAAGGACGAAAATAACAATGAACTCCAAACCAGAGGGATGAAAACCACAATTTCAAAACCAATTGGCAATCTTTAAAAAACCACAAAAACAAAGATGACAACGAATTCCAAACCATAGCAATTTGAATCCGCAATCTTCAACAAACCACAAGGACGAAAAACGCAATTTACTCTATGATTCAAGAAATTCAAGATTATGGGTAAAGAGGGGAAAGGTAGGGGGGTGGGAAGTAAATTACCCACAGAATATATAGATGAAGATAACAAATGTATGTGGGGGATAGGAGGCATTAGGGAGACAGTTCTTGTCTGAGTGTCATAGATTGTACTTTTGAAGCATCCACCTGCAAACTATTAGAAAACCCATTTCAAAATTTAACACAAAATTCCACTTTGAAACTGAATGAATTGGCATATTCCTGAATTGAATTTTTGATGTTTGAATTAGAGTTGGGCATTGATTAGTTAGTCAACTACTAGCTTTGACTGGAGTGTACAGTTTTAGTTGAGGTAGATAGTGAAGTTACTTAAAGAAAGGCAGTGGGATTGGGTGTAATAACACTATTCAGATTCAGGCATATGAAAAGTGAAAAAAAACTGGTGGGGGCAAAGTTACAATATCTTGATAATGACAAGTGAATTCCGGACACTTTTACCCCCCTAGGCCCCAACATCTATCTCATTCTGTTTTCTTGCCCTACCTTCCACATTCATTCTAACAAATGCATTAAAGAAACATTCTTAAAAACAAAACCTACTAATTCCTACATTTTTTTAATAATCATTCTCTGTCTTAAACTAAACAGGCCCTAAAAGGATTGGAGGAGTTCATAGTCATATGATCCTACCAGTAAGGTCTGGGTTTGGATTGAAAAAGGTCTTGGGTGGATAATGGGGATTTTGGTGGGTTGGTTAAATGTTGGTGGTGCTGGTGCTGGTGCTGGTGCTGGTGTTGGTCAACTTCAACCCAACCAGGGTCATGGTTAGGTGTGGTTTTTGGTGGTGAAAAGAAGTGGTGGAATGGTTGTTTATGGTGGGTGTGGGTGTGGGTGGTTTGATCTACTTTTGTGTCTGTTTGAATGCAGGGTTTGGTGTTGGTGGTTTCTTCTGATGACTTAATGAAATCAGTACCCATAACAAAGCAATGTTGCCCTTGTGCTGATTGTTCCTCTTTATCTTTCTGTTCTTTGAATTGGTCATTGAGGTTTTGGAAGTTGAAATGAGAGTAGTTATGGTGATCAGATGAAGAAGAAGAAGCAGCAGCAGCAGCAGCAGCAGCAGCAGCCATCTTTTGTGTTGTGGTATAAGGATCATTTAGTTGGAAATAAGCTGTTCTTTCATCCTCTCCTAAATCCTTCATTCCTTGCAAGTACCTATATATTCGTATTATGTTCACATATGAAGAATCCCTAATGAATACACAAAAGTACACACATAAAAACAAGTAAAAAGAAAGCGACCTGTAATCTTTGAGGGGGGTTTGATGTGAATAGGATGATGAATCCATAAAGTTGGTGTGAATAGGTGGTCTGGATGAGGAATAATGAGTCTGGTTATTATGATCAGAAGAGAATGGAGGGTAAGCATGATGATCAGAAGTGGAGATTGATTTGGAAATTGTAGTTGATGGTGAGGAAGAAACATTAGCAGTAGATGAAGATGAAGAAGAAGAAGAGAATTCCACAGGCTTTCTTGAACGATTTCGACCGCGATGCATGTGTCTTTCACAATATTTGGAATCAGGGTATGCTTCTTTAGAACACCTCCATTTCTTCCCATCTGTTCTTCTACACCTTCCAGGCTCTAAATCTATCTTTCTTCCATACCCACTTCCCCCCATTTGATATAACTGATTGTACTGAAAACTTCCTTCCCATACTCCTACTGCAGCAATCAAAGATAACATGAAAAACCCATATATATATATATATGTACATATATATATATATAGAGAGAGAGAGAGAGGAGGTCCAGGATAAAATCCTTATAAAATGAAAAACTGAGGAACACTTGTAACCACTCATATGGACGATATACACATGTGCATCCTTCTTTCTTGGTTTATATACACGGGTGCATGTTATGCACATGTGCATACTAGACAAATTTCTTATAAGTTACTTATATGAACATATGAACGGTTACAAGGATGTTTCACGGTTTTCCGTAAACACTACCCTATACATGAATTTAAGAATAAAAAGGGTGAAGTTATAGGTTCTTACAGGTAGGTTGGTTGGATAAAAGTGATGAAGAAGAAGAGGAAGAGGAAGAGAAGGAAGAGTTATATAAGCTTCTTCTGACAGATAAGATGAGATCAGTTGGGACTGGAACACCTGAGACCATATATTTGTAGATTAAAGCTTGTTGCTCCAGTTCTTCCCATTGTGCAGCTGTGAATAGATTATTCATCATCATCATCTTGTCTCTTGGTGTTGTATCTCTTTGAAAGAAACCCTTTTTCTTCTTGTTGGGAAGATGGGGTTCCTAACTTCCTATGCTATGTATATAGGGGAGGTAGGGAATGAATCTAATGAAAAGGGTCTTTCTTTCTCTCACTTCAAATAAGTCCACTGCACTGGACTGCCTAAATTTGTTGTGTTGCTGAGGGGTCTGAACCACCATCAGCACCACACAAGCAACACTATACAGCCCCTGTCATTGTTTGCTACCTATATATCTCTGCCACCTTTACTGAATTCCATATAACACATGTACACAACACAAAATACCCTTCAATTTGTATGCATATATATCATATCTTTACTTTTAAATATATTCTTTCTTCACCAAATAGAAAACCTCTTATTTGTATATAACTTCACACATACACACTTGAAAGACCACATTTTAAATAAATATGGATCAATATATAGGGAAATTGCTCAAAATAGCCATTTCAGCCTTATACATTTACCTCTTAGTCATTTCTCTTTCGAAACTTCAAAAATGCCATTACCTCCGCAAGTAGTAAGTCCTCAACTTGCGGAAGGATCAAAGTGTAAAAAAGAAATTTCTGAACATTGTCTGCAAGTGCAGGGACCAAATCTATAAAAGTCCAATATACTCCTGCAAGGACCTTTGACTAATTTACAGATTTGGACCCTGTATTTGTGGATCATGTTCAAAAACTTATTTTTTTTTACATTTTGATCCCTCGGCAAGTTGAAGAGTTGCTATTTATGGAGGTAGTGACATTTTAAAATTTTAGAATAGAAAGGGCTAAGAGGTAGGTTTTGTCTGATTAGAAAATAAGCAATTTCCCTAATATATACGGAGGTCATTGAAGTTTGCAGAATGTGCCCAATAAGCCACCAAAAGGTGGTTTGTTAACTGTCCATGGTGGGGTGAGCTATATATGATTTATGTTGTATGGTACAAGTCTTATAGGCTGATTGGATGGTTTTCCATCAAGTCCTCTATGGATAAAGTTGTCTATAAGGATTAATTTGTCCATATAGAGTGAGGAGGTTTTTATTTGATAGGGATTTTTCATAGATGGAAGGACCGTGTTTTTTAATTGGGAGGGGCATGTTTGCAAAAAATATGGCTTTCTACAAAAAACTCTCCCTTAAGGTTTCTGAATAACCCACTTTTTATATCATCAAGCCACTTCCAAATGGTCATGTATAGCTGACTGAATAAGTCGTGAGCCTCATTAAGCACCTAACAAACAATTGAAGTTCAACTTAAGTTTTTAAATTCTGTATGCTTTTCAGTTGAAGAATATTTTTAATAGAAGGGTCAAACGATGATTTTCCACCGAATTTGGTGTAAATGATATGAAATTGAAAGTTGGTTTCGTGTTTGTAGTTTCGGGACCTATTTGACAACTTTTACAAAGTTGAGTAGCCTTCTTGTGGGTGAAGGAGAGTTAAGGTGAGAAGTATAAGAATGAATCTGAACCCTTGATCACTTTTAATCCCAAATCCACCCATGAATCGTGCTTGATACGGGGGTTGATCCAGTACATCTCGGTGCATTTCATCCTAATGTGCATCCAAAAATGAAAATTTCTTCTTATGTTTCTCACTGGAAATCAACCCCCTACTTGTAGGTAATCCTAAATGAATAATAATATAGATACATACTTTTCATATTAAGTCCATTGTCACATGACTTTTAATTAGAATGTGGAGATTAGCCCTGAAACTATTGAAGAAAAAGAATTTGTTGTCACCTAAGATGCAACTTAGTTTAGACTCTAGCTTCATGTCTCCCTTTTTCACTTCAAATTTGACAAAAAAAAACCCTACCTTTTTAAATATAATATTCACGGGATAAGGCCAACATCAAACGAGATGCTCACCCCATTGCGCCCAAAAGAACTACAACTCGAATTGAACGAGGGTTAGATTAGAAGCACCTACACTTTCGGGGGCCAAACCCCAAAAGTATGTCTAGAAACTAAAATTTGCTAAAATAGAGGTCAAGTTTGCATACATTTTACCACTGACCCTACTTTCGAGTGAAAGATTTAGGGGTTGCTTGGTTGGTTTTCAATTAAGTATTGTATCGTAAAGTTGTCTGTGTGGATTAATCTGTTTATATAGATGGGGACTGTTCTTGTATAGGAGGGTTTTTCATAGATCAAACAAGTGCGTCTTTTATTTGAGAGGCGCCAGTTTGAAAAAGAAAAACTTGGCTTTCTGCATACAGCCCTCCCTTAGAAGCATAATGAATAAACTAGTTTCTATATTAATAATCCACTACGAAACAGTCATATATAACTGACGGACTAAGATGTAAGTGTCATTAAGCTACTAAAAATAAGCCCTTAGTGTGGTTGGGATTTGATTTTTATTGTAGGGGGTGAGGAGAGGAGGAGAATTGGCACCAACATTAAGGGAAAAAACATGTAGTCTGTATGGTTTCCTAATCTTTTGGCTTCTTTATTTTGTGTTGGTGTGGGAGAGAAAGAGGGTTTTGTTGGGTAGGAAACTGCTACTGAGACTGCTAATGCTGCCTCTAATACACCTGCAGGTGAGGTGCACTTCTCTTATGAAGGGACTGTTCATAACCTGCATCATATCACATGCAAACCAGAAATACTATTAAAACTTTAAATAATTACTCCTTATTTGTCATCACTTGCATCCATCCATCCATCACTTTTCATAGTTTTAGGGGGGAAATTCAACCAATTATTTTATTTTAAATGATTAAGTTATTAAATTATTTTTTAAATGAAAAAAACATTAGACCTTCTCATTTTAAATGATTAATATTTTGAACTATTTTGTTAAATGAAAAAATCATTGAGCTTTCTTATATTGAATGATTAAGATATTGAACTACTTTTTTGAATAAAAACAAAAATTCAGAAACTTAATCATTCAAAACGAATTTTTTTTTTCATTCAAAAAAATAGTTCATGAACTTAATCATTCAAAATGAGTAAGTTTAATGGTTTTTTCATTCAAAAAAATAGTTCAGAAACTTAATTATTTAAAATAGGATGGTTTATTAGATATTTATATTTCAAATGAATGGTACAACACACAGCATAACAGATTTACAAGCAAAAGCAGCATCTCTTGATCCCTTTTTTTTCAATTCCTATTTCTGAGGAATTCACTCTTTTTTTTGTTTATAATTATGTTTCATCTGTTTATCTGTGGATGGTGATGGAGTTTATGAATCCCAATTTGGCAGTTTCTTGGGGGATTTAATACTGACTGGTCCCTAAAAGCTCTACCACCTGCAGTTTTGACTGCCAAAGATACCTCAGGTCAAATCAAATTTAAATGATGACCCAGTGTCAGATCACAAACACCATAAAGAGACAGCATCAACTCACTATCTTTGCACTCTCTTAACTGCTCTTTCTCATGCCTAACCCTTTTTCTTTTCCCAGCTTAAACCTCAAGAATGCATTGTAAGAACCCCACAACCTAACTTTCAATGAAATACCTGTATCAAATTTCTTATGATGATTCTAAAATACCCTTTTAACTAATACCCCTGTAGCTAATCCTTATAGTGTCTTTTCTAAACCAACTGCTTCTTTTAGTATGGTTCTTGGATTTTTTTTTACCTTTTTGTAGCTCCATCATCAATGCATCAATAACTGGAAGATTATGTGTGTCTACAGGATGAAAGACTTGATGGTTATTCTTTTTATCCCACTTCTAATCATTTGAAACTAGATTTGCTTCAAAGGAATGGCTAGTAACGACGCTGGTCGTCGGGTCCAGTTTTTTGGGGTGTTAGAGTCGATTGAGTGAGACGGAGTTTCGAGAAGAGATCCAATATGATTGATTACAACGCAATGAAGAAGAAAAGATTCTCTTTAGCAAACAACCGTATCGCCCGTATGGGCACACATGATGGTTGGAACAAAGACATGTTTGCTTGTAGACTATATATATATGTGTCTGCGTGCATGCACGCAAGCAAGTGCGTGTGCATGCTTAATTATTTATGAACTTCATATATTGTGATAACCGTAAGAAATATTACCTTAATGATTTTTTCCATCTAAAACAAACATTTAATATTGATAAACATATATTTGTTTCACAATGCATTTGGTTCATAATGTGAAAATGGTTTCACAAACAAGCTAAAAATTGTGCACATTGTGGAGCACATACATGTTTATTAATACTTTAAATCCTAGTTTTAGATGAAAAAATCGTATGAAATAACATATGATGCTCTAGTTCTCAAGGTTATCACAATTTCATGAGGTCTTAAAAGAAGATCCCATATATATATATATATATATATATATACTATATATATACTATATATATATATATATATATATATATACTATATATATACTATATATATATATACTATATATATACTATATATATATATACTATATATATACTATATATATATATACTATATATATACTATATATATATATATATATATAGATTTGCATATTATATATAGGAGGTCCTAATGTGTAGAATATTCACATAATGTGTAGAAGATCCCATAACACTCCCCTCAAATTAAAGATGGTTTTTGAGGTCCCAAAATTGAGTTTGGAAAGGAGAACAGTAAAAGGAGTGAGAAAATGGGTTTTGGTGAAGATGTGGGCAGTATAGGAGACGATCATCACAATATGCTTAGTGCGTTCAAGAAACATGTCATTATGGGCAATCGCACTGGTGATGTCACACCATACAACCATCTGAGACAGCAAAAATGCATCGAAGCCACACCAAATTCTTGGGTGGGGTCCAAAAGTGCACGATACTCGGATTCAATATTTGGAGCTTTCAGGGTTGCTTTCTTGCCATGCCATTAAATGAGAGTCACCAAGAATAACAATACCCAATGGCGGAATGACGATTGGTAATATCTCCATCCCAGTCAACATATGAGAAGCACGAAAGATCTAGAGACAGGAACGGACCCAGCCTGTTTTTCTGGTGTCACGTGCCACTGTTTCATTCCTTGGTCGCAGTATAAAATATAAATATTATAGGGTTGTGAAAAGTGAAACCATATCAATTTGTTGTGTGCCACCGTGTGTGTATATATATATATATATATATATTGAAACTACAACGATGATACAAGTTTCCCTTGGTAGAGTTGGTTTGCAAGACTTTTCTTTCACCCTAGACCCGAGTTTGAATCCCGTTAGTATCATGTTCTTACTTTTTAGCTTTGAACATAGGACCTCACATATGAAAAACAATGAACTAACCAACATACCAATGATGATTTTATAAAAAATATCCATATATTTGTTTCTTCTAGTAAGATGGTCAGCATCCCTGTCAAGAGATTACCCTTGACCTTCATATAGTGCATTATTTTCTAGACAACGGTCTAATGAGTAGCTCGAGGACAAGCCGTAAATTGCTTGACAATGTGAACAACAAATGCAAGATCTGAACGAGTGACGATGAAATAGACCACGGAGCCCACAAGTTGAAGATATAAGAGGTAAACGACTCTTTTAATCCTCATAATCCCACAAGAAACCAAATCTGCCGTCTCCTAATTAAACCCAAAGAATCCAATCAAAACCATCCAAAGAACTTGTGTGTAGATCATAAAACAAAACATCGTATCTTCCAAAAAACAGCACATACTTTCACACCATCCATTCTCCATACCAATAACCCTCTTTCTCCTTCCCATTTCTTGTTGCAGATCCAGTAAATCAAGAAACAATGACTGATCCAATATCAGATTGGTTAGAAGATTCGATATCGTATCTACCATCGTTTCTGGACGACCCGTATGAATCGACCAATATCATCGATGACCATTGGTGGGCACCGGCTCAAGACCTACAACAACATCTCTTAACCACTACTCTTCTTACTTCCAACGCTCTGAACAATTCAACATGTACAAACGTTCCGGATCCTCTTATTGTTTCAGATCATCCAAAGCCGGTAGTGTCGGATTTGTCAAAGAAACGGAAAGCTCCCGAGGACCTCGTGCCAAGGCCTGCGGTGCAGGTTAAGAGCAAGAGGGGGCAAGGAAAGTCGACAAAGGATGGGTGTAGTAAAGTTAACAACAAAAACGGGAGGTGGGCAGAACAGCTGCTCATGCCGTGTGCTGCCGCCATCACCGCCGGAAACGTGACACGTGTCCGGCACCTCCTCTTCGTCCTCCGTGAACTGGCCTCGCCAACCGGAGATGCCAACTACCGGCTGGCCTCTCACGGCCTGCAAGCTCTCACCCTCCATCTCTCTTCCACCAAGGTGGCTGCCCCTGCCATCAGTTTCTCTACCGTGAAACCGAGATTCTTCCAACAATCTCTCATCAACTTTAACGATATCAATCCATGGTTCACCATTCCTAACAACATCGCCAACAACTCCATCCTCCAGGTCTTGGCAGAACACGACCGTGGCTCACGTGCTAACCTTCACATACTTGATATTGGAGTCTCCCATGGGGTACAGTGGCCGACGCTACTGGAAGCATTGAGTCGTCGACCAGGTGGACCGCCACCATTGGTTCGACTCACCGTGGTACCACCAACATTCGAGGACCATCAAATCCCATTTGCAAACAGCCCACCTGGCTACAATTTCATCTCAAACATTCTCCGGTTTGCCAACGAATACAAGATTAACCTGCACATCAACAGACTGGACAACTACCCTCTACAAAATCTAAATCCCCAAATCATCAAATCATCCCCAGATGAAACCTTAATTGTTTGTGCTCAGTTTAGACTTAACAACCTAAACCACAACAACCCAGATAATAGAACAGAGTTCTTGAAACTGATGCGAACCCTGGAGCCCGAAAGAGTGATTTTGAGTGACAACAACATGGACTGCAGTTGCAACATCTGCAGCAACTTCGAGACAGGATTCGCAAGGAGGGTGGAGTACTTATGGAGTTTCTTGGATTCAACAAGTGTGGCGTTTAAAGGGAGAGAAATGGAAGAAAGAAAGATGATGGAAGGGGAGGCTTCAAAGGCATTGATCAACACGTGTGGGATGAATGAAAAGAAAGAGAAGTGGGGAGAGAGGATGAGGGGTGTCGGGTTTGTAGCTGATGTTTTCCGGGAGGATGTGATGGAAGGAGCTCGATCGCTGTTGAGGAAATACGACGGCAACTGGGATCTGAGAGCTGAAGACAGAAATGGATGCGTGGAGTTATGGTGGAAAGGCCAAGCTGTTTCATTTTGCTCCCTGTGGAAAATAGACGCTAAAACTAGTGACACCACCACCAACCATTAACAAATAATTCTAGATTTTCTGTATTTTCGTATCAGTTTTCTCTAATTCTCATGTAAGTCTCAAAAACTTCATGCTCGCATGTCCCATCAATATCATGAATCGCATTTGCGAAAAGAAAATAAACATTCAAATGAACAACGAGCAGGGATTATTGATCAGGAATACGAAATATGAAAGGGGGATAAATGATCGACTTACAATACAGGTTTGATGATAACTGGAATTGCTCAGTTATAAGTGTTGAGTTGTGGTACGAGAGAAGGGTAAACTCAGTCAGACAATTTGTCGAACAGCTTGAAGGCGTAGTTGGATTCACCAAATTAACAATTCTCCTCATAGTCTCCTCCTGCTATCCATCCAATCTGTTACCTCATTGCCGCCTGTAGGGTTACTCATACTCTCCTGCTATTTATCACGGCGGTGGCAAGGCTGACGACTGTGACTCCGTCACGAATAACGTTGGCAAATGCATGGAACTCCCCGCACTCCAATGGGGGATATGCTACACTTTTTTTGAAGGGTATTGGTCCATGCACCCTTTTATACATGAGAATCAAGTAAAATCACACCCTTTTTTTATATCAGATTTAAATCAAAACATTCCTTAGAAATCAAAAATTAACAGGTATTGTTGTATTTAGCCCAACTTCTTAACACATAAGCTAAATACATTCTTATATATTGTTAAATATATACCTACGTAATGTTCCTTTCTATTATGGATAGCAATAGTATGACCGACCATTGTGGGTATAATGGTATATGATTTGATCTGATTCTAACACAAAAAGGTGTATAGTATCTCCAATACATGTTCTTAAAAGAACATCTTTTTGGACTTTTTGTTGACACTCACTTCCGACTTATCAAATTAAGAACTCACATAAAAGTCCACAACAGTAGTTCTTACAATAAGCTCCTTTTTATGGGTCTCATGCTTTTTTCAACCTAGATTCATGAAGATATAGAACAACAAATATAAGTTATCATGCTTGTATATCCAACATCAATAATTATTATATATATGATATTAATAATTATAAAGTCACTTCACACAAATTTCACGGAAAGAATCAAGGAGGGTTTCGTACAAAAACTTAGAGGATATGAGGTTTTATAAGAACTCTCTGCAATGTCAGTTTCTTCAAGTCACTTCACTTTTTTCTTATAAGAACTTGCATCGAAGATGCTCTAACATCCCTCTTTTCAGCATTAAAGTTCGAGATAATTCATTAAAATAATCATCCATTTCTTTAATCTTTTATATAGTATCTGTTATTTTTTTTAAACACAAACGAATAGGTGAGGGTTGCATAGTTGGGAGTGTCTTAGAGGTCGTTTACCAAACACTTACTCAGGTAAGCGTTTGATAAACAACCCCTTAAATTCTTTACCAAAAATCGGGTAAGCTCGACTCTGTTTCTAATGACCAGTTAAAATTCGATCTTTATGCACCTTTATTTTATACCTTATAACCAAGCTAATTAACCACTTTGTTACTGATCTATTCCATTTCTTGACGTACTGAGATAGGATATAACAAGATTTTGTTGTCCCACATTGGTGCAGCTTATAAAGAGATACAACACATAATTGAGTACTTGTCCCATCAAAATAGGTGGAATTTTTTTTAGGAAAATGAGATAAGATGGTAAACTACTAAATTACTCATGTCAAATTGAAACCAAAAATCTTGTACAATCTTTTTTCACATGTCTACCTCATTCTTATCCATCGAGTCTTATATCTAATGTCATATGCATATCAAATGCACCTTAAGATTGGTAATTATTCGATTTTATACCAAAAACAAAAACCGATCTCATTATGTATTGAAATTGTACACATTCCATCTTAACTAAAAATAAAACAAACGAATAGCAGTTGTTTATAAAAAAAATATATTTTATCGTCTTTTTTTCATTTTTAGATAAATGACTTACAACTTATAATTGTACATAAAAATAAATAAATTATTTAAAACTAACATCGACCACCGGATACAAACGTCTTAACGAGTTTGTTGAGTGAATATGGAGCTTCGATATTTGCGGCATGTCCTACGTCTTTAATTATCTCTACCTTCGACTTCGAACCCAAGTGCCTATGTTACAATATTCACTTGTTTGAAAATGAAAATGAAAATGAAATAAATAAATTAAGGTCCCGTTTGGTTTGAGTGATTTGGATTCCATGGAATGATTTGTAATCTTTGGTGTGTTTGATTTGTAGTATTTGGAATAGAATTGAATTCCGTTCTCTTATAAATCTTATTTGTTTTTTTGTAGATCTCGGAATGAAATTTAACTTTTTGTAAATATTTGTCTGTTTAATTAAAAAAAAAGTTGTTTCGATAAGATATGAAGGCAACAGAGAGATTAGCGTATATTTAATCATGAGACTTGGATTTGAAATCATAACCATCTTCAAAGGATTTTACTAAATCCGTCGGTTATGGGATTTCACTGAAATCTCAAGATTTCAAATCCAAACTTTCATTCAAATCAGACACGAAATTTGAATGATATTTAATTCCAAATCTCGCAAATCAAACGGAATCTAATTGAATGTTAAAGTCAATAGTAGTAATAATAATAATGAGACTTGGGATTATATGATACCATGTTGTTTTCGTGAGACTAATTTTTTACACTTGAAATTTCACAACAAAATACTAGGAAGGTAATTTTCACAGTGTTTTTTTTGTGAATGTTCAGATTTTTTACAACATTTACAGTGTTTTGCTGTGAAGTTTCGGATTTTTTTAACTTTCACAACTTTTTGTTGTGAAGTTTCAAGTATAAAAAAAATGTTATTAAATCTCACAAAAACAACATTATCTCATATGATTCCAAACCCCTAATAATGATAAATGAAAAAAAATACCTATGTAGCTGATGTGCCAAATGACACGGGAAAATGTTGTCTTTCTCCCCCCATATTATAAGCGTTTCCTTCACCATCAAATAAATTCAGATTATAATAATATCAAAAATAAACTATAAATTCATCATATACCAATCTTGAGTCAAAAGCAACTTCGTTCCTTGTCGTTTATATAAATTAAAAAAAATAAAGTGTCTGAAAATAATTATTAACAAGGGATGTTATTATAATTTCATTTTTATAACGGGTATGTAATGACTGATTCAGGAAATTAATGAGGTGGGGCACATTGGGTGGGACTTGGGGAAGGGAAGCATATGATCATATGAAACTGAGGGGAAACCATGTAAGACGAGGTGAAAATAAAAAATTTAAACTAGTCAACAAAGGTTTTTGGTTTTTAACTGGGGGGCCTTTCCTATAATATTTTATTTGGTTTTGAGAAAATGGTACTGTTTTTATTTTTGAATGAAATATAAATTTGAAAATAGCATAAAAATTTGAAAAATAAAATAAATCGATATTAGTATCAAATTATCGTTTTTTGGTATAAATTCTTTAATTCAATTTTTATTATAATTCAATTTAGATTTAATAACAAAATAATTTATTTTTGGTTTAATAATATAATTTTTTATAAAGATTAATAATTAAAAATTTTGATAGACCTTAATAATTATCTTAATTATATTTTAGATTTTCTGTGTTTAAAATAAATGTTTATCCTATATTTGATTATGTTTATCCGCAGTTAGTTACATGAATTTCAAAATGGAGCTTTAATAAGTTGTATTTACACAAATTACCTTATAATCTTGAGTTTTAAGTACTATGCATAAATAAACAGTACTTCATATATAAAAAATAATTTTAATAGTTTTTATCAAATATTTTATAATATAATATAGATAATAAATTTTCAAAATTGAAAAAAACACACGCATATAAGTTGTAGCATTTCATTTCACGTGAATACATATAATGCGTAATAAAAAACCAACTATAAATGCACATTCAGTAAAAAAAAAATTACATTCATTTTCAACAAATCTTTTATTTTTAAAAAATTACTAGATTATAATATTAAAATATTTTTTTTTGTACAAGTATTTATTTTTGAAGTTTTTTATTGATGGTTTCAATTGGTAATCGTCTTTGGAGTGTTCTCTATATTTGGAGAAAAAACTCTCACATATTTTCTCTATTTTGAAGATCGTGTGGAAGCTCTCAAGACAAAATATTAATTCAAATTTACCATTTTATTTGAAGAAGCTGTTGGAGATGTTACTATAATTAATTCAACACGAGGCCCCCCTTTATATTTAATAAACATTAAAGTTTATTATGGTTTTTTTTCAAAAACATTGTATTTCTTTAACATTAATAATTATTATATATTTATAAATAAATATATAAAGAATTAATAAATTATTACTTTATACCAACTAATAAATCTTTAGCAGGTTTTTTATTTTCGAAAATCCAACATTGATTATAATATTAAAAATATTTTATTTATATATTAAAATATTATTTCTCCTTTATAAATATTTATTTTTAAAGTTTTCTATTATGGTTTCAATTGGTAATATTTTTAGGATGTTTTCCATATTTAAAAGAAAAAAAAACCTTCTCTCACATATTTTTCATTTTAAAAATAGTTTAAAAGTTTTTGAAGTAAAATATTGGTTCAAATTCTCCCATTTTCTTTGAAGAAGTTGTTAGAGGAGAGCAACATCATAACTAATTCAAATGAGGCCCCCCTTTATATTTAATAAACATTAAAGCTCTTTATAATTTTTTATAAGGGTGGATAAAAAATTCTATTAACTTGTTTAAAATATTTTTTGTTTATCTATTAGTAGTTCTATTAAAAGGCAATTTTTGAATCTTTAGGTGAATTTTGTTTAGCTAAAAAAAAGGTTGGCTCTTAATGGTTTTAAAACCTTCTGAATGATTTTGTATTCTGACCTCCCTTATTAATTCAGCATCCTAATTTCGTTTTAAATAATTATCAAACAACTATATTTCATTTTGCACTATATATTTCAGAAAAATTAGATTTTTATTTTTTGTCACTATGGTTTACTAGAACTTGCAGATTTTGTCTCTGAGATTTCAGAATTGTGGTTTTCGTTTTAATAGTTTACAATTCATTTATATTTTCTTTCTTGATGCTAACTGTTGTCCATAAGAATGAGGGACTAAAATAAAAAAGAATTGTAAACTAGAAGGATGAAAAATCAATAAAGTTTAAATCATAAGGGTGAAAAGAATAACGAAATATAAGCTATGGAGATGAAAATTGTAATTTTGAAACCATGAGAAAAGTAGAAATTTTCAACAATTTACTTTTTATTTTAGAACAAATTGCATGAAAAAAGTAACGTATTTTAACTTGATTCTTATTTTGGTTAACGTATTTTCAAAACTTTCATTTTAAAACCTAAAATGCAAAGTTTTGAACATTTAAGTACTCGGATAACCAGTTGAAGCATTAAACGGATATCATGCTGATGCGACGAGTGATAGAATGAAATTGGGTTAAATAGCAAATAACACTGAGTTCAATACCACATCACTCGCCACATCAGCATGATAACCGGTTAATGGTTCAAACGGTTATCCGGGTACTTAAATGTTCAAAACTTTACATCTTAGATATCAAAATGAAAGTTTTGAAAGTACGTTATTCAAAATAAGAACCAAGTTAAAGTATGTTAGTTTTTCATTTAATTTGTAATTAATTTTATTCAAATTTATATTTTCTCTCTGTGTATTCGTATGGATATAAATCAAAAGGGACACTTTCGTACAAACGATTTTATCCAAGATAAGTAAATATAGTGTCCCAATATTATCGGTCTTTTTCTTATCCACAAATGAATCAAGTTAATACACGTAAAACATAAATTAATTTAAAATTATATTAAATAAAATAATCAAAGTAGATTTTCTTAATTTTTCAAAGAGGGAAATTTAGTTTTGAAAAATGAGAGTGAAATTAAGTTGTTGTATTCATGGCACCTGGGTAAGAACAGGAAGATGAAGATCAGGTTGTTCGGAAAGCAAGTACTCCACCAGTTGTCGTTTTTCCATCTTGCAACCATCTGCCTGCAATTTGGAATCAATTCAATCTAGTTAGCCATGGATATCGACGATGATCAAAAGCTTAACTAATTCACACTTGTAACTGGAAATGGATCAATGATCCATAATTCAATTCAAATCTAGGTAGCCATGGATATCGATGATCAAAAGCTTGATTCACACTTATAATAACTGGAATTAATCGGTGATCCATAATTCAGTTCAAATCTAGGTAGCCATTGATATTGATGATCAAAAGCTTGATTCAGACTTGTAAAATGACTTACGGCGATGAATCCTCGAAGAAAGAAATCAGGAAACCATTTCGAAACATTCGATCTGTACATAGACATTTGACACAGCGTCCGAATATCCTCTGGTTTCTCCGGTACCAACATATCCAACAAATTCCCCCCAATCTTCTTCAGGTGCTCCGATTTCTGATCCTCCGTACAAACAATTGCACTACTAACAATCACCAGCTTCTCCACCATCTTTTCCGCCATCTCCGCCATCCGGTACACCACAAATCCGCCATAACTGATTCCATAGACCGAGAATTTCTCCACACCTAACTTCTTCATTCCATCGCACACACACTTCGCCTGGAACGTATCCGTACGCTCAGTCCTTGTCGAGTACGATTTCCCGAAAAACACCAGATCTGGTATGTAAACATTGAAATCACGCGTCAGTTGAGCCACCTGCAACACGAATTGCCACTTTGAGTTTCCGCCATAGCCATGGACGAGAACGAGGTTAGGTTTGTTGCAGCGGCGGTGATATGGCGCCCATATGTGGATTGAGGTTTGGCAATCGTCGAGATCAACGGTGCATGGGGAGAGATTGCAGTAGCAAAAGTAAGCTGATAAGAAGAGTTCGGCGAATTCAATCGGAAGGCGTTTGACGGCGGCGTAGAGGAAGAGGAGACGGCGATGAAGCCGGAGAGATCGAATGGTGGAGAGCATGAGGACTAAAATGTAAGAGAATTGAAGAATTTGGGTAGGTTTTAGAATGAAAGGAAAGTTGTGTGGATTGAAGGGCCAGCTTGGAGACATATCTATGTGTCCTTCTCGCTCTATAAGTAAGCATTTGGATAATGCCAACGTTTCCAAAACGATTGAAAAATCCGTTTTTATGAAGTTGTAAGTGATAATCGGTTCATCATTTGCTATTTTAAATAATATTTTTTATTTAAATTTAAAATTTGGGATATCAATTAATATATATATATATATATATATATATACATATATAGAGAGAGAGAGAGAAAGGGGTGAATTATTATGCAATCATTTATATTTGTATAATCAATACAATTTAATCTTAACTGTCCATTTAATTTGATTAATATGTGATTTCATAAAGGTTATAATTGTTTCCTAATATAAAATATTAATCATAATCAATGAATCCTAGTCATCTTACATAAATATTTAAATCATAATAAATGAGCTCTCATCATTTTCATAAATATCTCAACTAATTGGGTTGCATTGGTTGTACACATGTGATGGGTTACATTTGAAACTCTCTCTCTCTCTCTCTCTCTCTCTCTCTCTCTATATATATATATATATATATATCACTATGCGAATATCTTTTGTCTGTTTATAAAACAAAGGTTACACGTAAAAATGTTGCACATTATGAATCGAATACATGAGTTGAGTTCTGGTGAGAAACGTAATAAAAGATCTTCACTCTTTGATCAATCTTAATTGAATGTCAACGTTGATGAGGTGCACCGAGATGCACCAGATAAATTTCCTTCTAAAGCGCAATTAATAAGTGGACATGAAATTAAAAGTGATTAAAAGTTCAAATCCATTCCTATGCTTTTCAACCTAACTTCCCTTCTCACATGACCATTCGTCTCAAATACATATAAAACAAAGACATTATGAAAACATATATATGTTAATTATTACATTAATATTAACCTTTAGATGAAAAAAAATAATGTAAAATAATATCTTAAATTAGAAGTTTTCACGGTTATCATTGTATATGAGGTTTTAATTCGATTATGCTCACACATGTAGATTCTTTCGATCATGTATGTATATATATATATATATATAGACTTGGGATCATGTGAGACCAATGGTTTTTCGTGAGACCCGTAAGACCAATTCTCAACCATTGGATTAGATTTACATGCGTCAGATTTGAACATTCGTAAACGCCATGAGACTTCTCAATAATTACAAAATTACCATCTTGCAATTTTAGACCATTAGATTATTAGCTTATAAAGTTGATCAATGAACATAACTTGGTCTTACGGGTCTCACGAAAAACCATTGGTCTCACGTGAACCCAACCCTATATATATATATATATAGAGAGAGAGAGAGAGAGAGAGAGAGAGAGAGGGAGAGACTTGGGATCACGTGAGACCAGCCTGTTTTCATGAGACCCGTGAGACCACTTTTTGCATTTAAAACTTCACAGCAAAACGCTGTGAAAGTAACCTTCACAGTGTTTTTGCTGTGAAAGTTCGTTTTTTTTACCTTGTTGTAAAGTTTTAAGTGTAAAAAATAGTCTCACGAAAATATTTTGGTCTCATTTATATATATATATATATATATATATATGTATGAACTTAATATAGTAATAATTTTATTTTTGATTTTTGAACACTAGATTCAACACGAACAAGTGACATGAAATATTGTATATTGAATAATATTTTATTAACGAATAATAAAATAAAATAAAATAAAAATTAAAGTGAAATTAAAAGAGTAAAGAAAAAGATAAAGGTATAAAAGGAGTTGGACCATTGAACGGAGTTTATCGTCACCGTTAGTTTGTTAATTTTTGGACGTTTTCATATCAACGTCAACCAACTACGACGAGTTTCTATGAATCCTTATCTTCTTTGTTTATCCCATATATAAAGCTGGTGTCTGATTGGCTTGAGCTTGAATTCCAAATATCAAAAGTGTCTGGAGGTTCCATGTTCAATTTCAAAGAGAAATAAAAATTCTCTTGTGACTACCGATGTTTAAACGCGGTGACTCCGGACTACCCGTAAAGCAGGTGGTCGTCCCGAGATTAGTTGGCTCGCATAGTGGGTTGGATATCCAGGTTAATAAAAAAAATAATTCGAATTTAACCATCTCAACTAAGCAATTGACTTATTTACATCAAGTTCAACTAAAAATACAAGTAATAATGATAATACCAGTGTTTTTGTCATCTTAGGGCAATCGTACCAAATATTGTCTGCTTTATCCAACACCTAGACTCACGGTTTTAGAACCTGTCTTAGGAGGAGGGTATTCAGTCCTTTATGTAGCAACCTTGTGAGTCCCTCTCAATGTAGGATCTTATAGCTTTCTTTTTGAAAGTCAAAACATAAAAACGTAAAATGAAAAAAAAACTTTAAATATAAAAAAGTAACGGGGTATTGAGACGATGACGACGACAAATCATTGCTGTCAGTGACCATGATAATGGAGAGAGAATTGCTGACGACACCCTAAGTTTCAGATTTCTTCGGTATAGAACAAATGGGATAATTTATAACATCGCAAGGATATAAAATTTCAAATAAGCGTAAAAGAGATCATTATTGATTTTTTAATCTTGACGAGCATAAAAATCTTAAATAAGAATTTCGCTACTGAATAATGGTCTTGAAAGGCGTTTGGTTTTCGGAATCTTAAGATCCGTTTGGTTTGCATGATTGTTTTTGAGGGATTTGGATTATATTAATATGTTTGGTTTGTAAGACATTGTTAATAAACAATTTATTAAAAATTATAAATAATTATAAAAATAATTGAATTACATTTTTATTAATCGATTATTACAAAATAAATATTTTTAACATTTTCTAAAATCTTATTGCATAAAATCCCATGAAATCCCGTGAAATCTCGAGCATTCCATATTCAAAATCCCATGTTTAAAGGACTTCGATTAAATCCTACTATTTAAATTCGAACAATCCAACAAACCAAACATGGATTGGAATGGATTTGAAATGCAAATATCCAGCATTTCAACGAGTATGATATATTTTCTTTCTTTTTTTCTAACTTTAGAAATTTATCTTTTATTTCTGCTATTTTTTCTATTTTAAAATAGAGTTTAGCATAGTTGTTGTAGCAAACTTTTTTTAATTCTTCAAATTTTCTAAAATAACATAGTTGTTGAAGATGCTTTTAAGATCCCAATTTTCAACAGAATTCTATCAAGCTTTCTTAATAAAATTAATTACAAAACATAAATAGTTATATTTTTGTTGAAAAATATAAGGGGTCGTTTGCTAAACACTTACCCCGGGTAATTTTCTTTACCGGATGAACATAGCAAGAGTCAAAAATCTTACCAGTAAGAACAATGATAAAGATTGAGAGTCTTACTTGGTAAGTGAGGGTGACGACTCTTATCCAGATAAGTGCTTACCGGTAAATTGTTTCATATAATACCACTTTAATGTACTACAATCTTACCCGATAAAATAGATTATAATGATGACTCCTAACATTAAACGCTTACCGGATAAGCATTTAAGTAAACGACCCCCAAATAATTTCTTTTGAGAATAAATTCTAGTTGATGAGGTTCCTGAACGGTTTTTGTAAGAAACATAAAAATCTATAGATGCCTCATAAGGGAAAAACCGCTTTTTATTGTCATTCTTTTTTTTGTAAAAAAGACGTACATACGGAACGATAAATTTGTCGTATTTTGATTGCGTCGTATTCTGTTTTTTAATCCGTCTTGTATCGTCCCACCATTTTTTTTCTAACAATCGGTTTGCTCTTCATCTTTACACGTATCGGTCCTCACATGTTTATCGTTTCCCTTATTGCTACTCCGTACTTCCAAAAAAAATGTTTTCGATAATTCTAATTTAAGTGAATTCTTACTTTTCATTTAGTTGATTTAAAAACACTGATGTCGATAGTTATAAACAACATTTCAAAGTACACGTATAATAAAAGTACGTTATACATAAAAAAAATGGTTGTAAAAGCAACGTGCAACTCACCCAATTTTGTTTTTTAACTTAGGGGTTGTTTACCAACCATTTACCCGGTAAGCGCTTATTTATAAAATTTAACACTATCATTTACTTATTACATCCACCACTGCCCTTATTTACTGGGTAAGATTTTTAATCATTTCTTTCCGTCTTATCGATTAAGATTCTTGATCTTTGTTATGTTCACACAGTAAGATAATTGAACAGATAAATGCTTACCAACACGAGTGTATAGTAAATGACACCTTAGTGTGTGTGTGTGTGTGTGTGTGTGTGTATATACTGGCACAATACCACCAACCAAATTTGTCGTGTACCAACTTAACTGATACGAAGTTTCATATGATACATATTTTACATCTGTAGGGATAAATGCATAATGCATTGGCCTTTTTATAAGAAGGTTTGGGACCAAAAGAAAAAGAATCTAACCCTCGTGGGACCAACGACACGATAACTATGTTTTGCTTGGAAGCTAAAATTGAGACGACACCAAAAAGCAGGAACAAAAGTAAAGTAATATGACAAACGGGACCATTTGCTTAGTTTCACCGCAAAGTAACATTGTGGAATAAAACACCTACCCAAACTATATCATGAACGACTTTTTAAATGATTAGACCCTGAAAACCAATATATTGTCGAATACAAATATGGTTTTATATGAAATTAACTCAGGTTTATACGAGAACAAAAAAACCAAATAAAAGAATAAGAAAACAGTCGAATTACATATGATTTTACACTTATAAAATCACATATGATTCACATGACTTTAATTGATCCCACTTTTGATGTTGACAGTTATGGGTTGTTTACCAAACACTTACCCGGTAAGCTTTTACAGTTAAAAGTTAACACTAGCATTTACTTACCCGATAACACTTTAGTCCACCAAAACATAATCATATGCAACAATTTATCCAGTAAGCGTTTACCATGATAAGAGTCGTCGCCCTCACTTATCGGGTAAGATTTTTGGTCATTGTCTCGCTCATACATACCAGGTAAGTTTTTTGGTCTTTACCATATTTATCCAGTAAGG